AACTTTCCAAGCCAACACTTGGTCACAAAATGGAGTACTAAATCAATTACACTTTAAGCCCTCGGCTTGAATTTACATGTAATACAACAAAACATAACACAAAAATTTGTCAGCCTCCAGCCTCCCAAGCTACGTCCTTGGAGGTGGCATACCATCTGAACCTGAAAATGATGTCTCATATAGGGTGAGCCAAAGCCTAGCAGAGATATACTAAACTAAATATAAGCAATGACTAAAACAATAGCATTTGATAGATGGTTAACACTTATAAACCCGTTATATCACAACATAATTCCATGACAAACATGCCCATAATACATTTCACTTTTCGTTACTTAACAAAATCATTTCATAGTACATGGCTTAGGACCTAGCCAAACAAGTCAATGAGACTAAGATTTATAAATGAGATTTCATCTCATATTCAAACATTTCCATATTCCAAATAATACACATAATTGCCGTATTAACACTTCCATTTAATACACATATTTGCTGTATTAACACTTCTACCTGATACACATAATTGTTGTATCAACGGAGTTCATCCCCTATCTCCTCCCAAACCGGTTTGAGAGTCCATCCCCTATCTTCCCTCAAACCATGGAGTACATCCCCTATCTCCTCCCACACAATTCACGTATTCCAAGTATATAAACAATTATCATATACAGGAATCAATCAATACATATATTTGATGTATTATTCCAATTGTCATATTCAATGACATATTCAATGTGATTAATTTCAGTTTTCCCTAATCAACATACAGTGTCTACAACAATCAAGACTATCCTCCCCCGATAGCCCAAAGCAGTTATTTCTAAACAGAAAATAAATGCATTAAATAGATATAATATCAATTTATTCCATAGGTGAATGATTAATTTATCGACTACACCATTCAATCCCATAATTTTCCAATTTCATTATTCTCAACTCAATTTTATATTTCCACATTTTTCCAAAATTAATTATACAAATTAATTTATTTCATAATTAGGGCATTTTCCCCCTTTCCTCTATATCAACCCTAAGGTTTGATTTCACCAATTAAACAACAATAACTCCATTTTCTAGTGTCTCACATACACATGGGTCTTAATATTTAAAAACCCCTCTTTTATAAATTACACAACAACACTAACTTTTCCAAAATTACCCAACATCACCAACTAATCAAAATGACCAAAAATTAAGACAAAACTCATAAGATGGAGTAGGGTATCCCTATCTCGAAATGAAGAGCTCAAATGGAGAAGATGACCAAACCCAAAGTGCTCCAAATCCAAAATTTTTCATATTAAAACGAAGCCCAAACAACCCTCTATCTTTCTTACAAAGAACTTAGGGTAGGAACACACTAAAAGGAGATGAAACCCTAGAGAGAAGGTAAGTGTAGAGAGAGGAGCATCCGGATCTAGGGTTTAGACAAAAGAGGAGATGAAAAAGTGAAGTGTAATCCTGCTGCTGTCTACTAATATAACACAGGCTCGCTCGAGTGAAGGATTGGTCGCTCGAGCGACCAGACACAAGGAACTCTCGACATGGTTGCTCGAGCGACCAGACACAATAAAGCCTCGCTCGAGCGAAGAAAAGCTCGCTCAAGCCAAGAATGCAATGCTTCAGGTCTGCAACCCAGACGCACGCTCGAGCGACAGAATGCTCGCTCGAGCGAGGAACTCGAAAAAAACATACACCTCGCTCGCTCGAGCCAAGAAATGCAACTCTCAGGTCCCGAACCAGACGCAGACGTAAGCTCGAGCGAAGAACTTCTCGCTCGAGCCACCAGATACAAGACTCAACTCTCGTTCGAGCGAACAAACCCTGGCTCGAGCGAAGGATCTAAAACAAAGAGCTCGCTCGAGCGACAAAGTCCTCGCTCAAACAAAGACACCAAAATCTGGGCAGCAACCATTTGCTCCAAATCACTCCCAACCTGTAACAAACCTGCCCAACACATCCTATAACTCATAAATAAGGAATTAAAGGATGACAACAAGATATAACCACAATCAATAGTACGGAACCTAAGTCCGGAACACTGTACATAAAGGAGTAAAACTCAGGATCGCTATAATCTATTGTTATTATTTCAACTGATAACATTCCTTTTATGCTTACTAAATGTTACTTGTTATTCTGTTACTACACATTATTCATAGATTGTGAGTATTATTATCGGGGTGAGTATTTTCGAGTTGTAGTATCTTATTGAGCTCGTTGCTCACTAGCATTCCCGTTGCCCTGGCGTTTTATGCCAGGTACCGAAGAAATCGAAGGAAACACCGAGGCCTTGCAAGGTGACACTCAGCCTTGGTTAGCTTGAAGAGTGCCTAAGATCCATGAATCATTTTTCTAAATTTCTAGTTTTTTATTTTATTTTTTATATTCGTGTTGTTTTTATGTACTAAGACTAAGTTTTAAGTTTTTATTGGAGTTGTAATTTAAGAACTTTTAATTTCTGGGTTGTTAATTAATGCTAGTAATATTGGTGACAAAATTGATGAGGGGTTAGTTATTAACAAAATTGATTTCAAGTTGTAAATCTTATTATGATGTAGGAGTGGGCGCGAGTCGATTGGGGCCACGAAACCTCCAATTCGCCATCCATCCGCCAGATTGGCGGATTGAAGAAAATCAATCCACATCCATCCACCAATCTGGCGGATGCGGATTGAGCGGATTGGCGGATGGATACGAATCGGTTTGGCGGTTTGAAATTTTATAAATTTTCAATATAGTTCAACTTGTGCACTTCCTAAAAAAAAAAAAAGTATTACAATCAATGACTTTAAAAAGTATTACAATTACTGCATGCCTCATCCAAAGAAAGAAAGTTTGAAACTTTAGATTATCACAATCACTACATGCCTCATCCACATATTACAATCACAGCATGTCTCGTCCACATAAAGTATTACAATTTATGGTTCTTAAAATATAAAAACAATTCAAACTATCAAAACCATGAACAAAGCAATAGTAAAGATTGTATGTCTCTGTATTGTTACATTTATATATGTTTTTGAAAACAAAAATCAACCAGTATATCATATTTTCTATTTATTACTTTTAGAGTTAAATTTAAAAATAAAAAAATATAGATAAATAATACGTTTATTTTTTTCAATTCAAAAAATATATTCAAATTGAAAACTTTTTTTCAACAAAATATTTGAACTTTTTTTCAATTAAAAACACAAACAAAATATTTAAACAAATTGAAAATACAAAGTCTTATAAATTTCTAAGGGTGCTTGCGGTTTGGCGGTTCGGTTGCGGCCAAAGGAACCTCAAATCCGCCATCCGTCCGTCAAATTGGCGGATTGGAAAAAATCAATCCGCAACCGTCCGCTCGTCATCACGCATCCGTCCAAAATGCGGCGGATCGGATCGGATCGGTCGGTTTTGGCGGATCGGTATATCCGCTGCTCACCCCTATGATGTCCTCAAATCTTGGGACGTCACAGTATGTCTTTCATAAAATTTCATAGCTTAAACATAAAATGTCATAACTTTTTTATTACAAAAGTCTTAATTTTTTTTACTGAAAAATATCATAACAAAAATCTTAAAGTGTCATAACAAAAATTACAAAATATTATAATATTATCATCCCTAACTTTAGGGTGTATATCATAAATTCGCTATTCATAATTTTATTACAAAATGTCATAATGCACATTATAAACAATCATAACGATGATCATAAAAAATCGTAACTTTTTTATGATGTGCACCATTTGAAAGGTTGCACATTGTAAATTTCTCTCATCCTATCTTATATCTGGTAGTGTTATATGTATTAATTAGTATATAACATAGTTATGATATTACTATTTTAAAATTAGGACTCCACATATTATATAAATTACAAATATTCAAAACTTTTAAAATTATACTACATTATAAATTAGTACACTAACTTCACTCACTATTTTACCGACTCTTTCAATGTCTTTATTGTGGGTGGTAAATTCAAAAGAATTTACATGTGTTTGTAGTGAGAAACACGCTACTCTTTTTGGTTTTGAGTTTTTAATCTCTATGATATTAAAAAAATTTAATATCAATTTTTTTTTTGGGATTTTTATTGATAAGACCAATTTAGAAGTGTTTTAACCCAAGAAGTCCATGAAAGAATTTTTTAACCCATTTAGTCTCATGTATGTATAGTTTTATTCCATAAAGTCCATTTTCTTGATTTACACTATTTTCTTGGACACTTATGCCCCTATATTTAATTTTGATACTCTTATAAATATTTTATCAACGATTAGCAGTTTAATGATGTGAACATTCATATTTTAAAATTCACATTTCTAGGAATGTAAATTGGCCCGTGGGCGACCCGAAACCTGCTCGCGAGCCAGGGCGGGCCCGACCCGTTGACAATGTGAATATTCACATTGACATGTTAAAATTCACATTAATAGCGAATTCTTGTTCATTATATCTTAAATTCAAAAATTTGTAAGTGTATTTTTTTATTTGAATAAAAATAAACTAATATATTTGTATTTATTTAATATAAAAATATATTAATAATCGAGTAAATGGATGTATAAGATGGAATGACAAAACTCAAGTGAAACATAATATTTCTCGACCTCTTTATAAAAGATCAAGAGTTGACCTCATAGATGAAATACTTTCTTATCCAACGTGATATCTGAATTTAAATCTTACCATTACAAATGTAAGTCCCCTTCTCTTATTTTGCTCTTAAAAATAAAAATTCTTTATAGATTTATACAAACACAAAAATACACAAATGACTTAAACTGGTACCCCCACATCATTTTGGCAAAAAATTCTGTAAGAACAACATTTGCTACATCACATTTGGTTTAAAAAACACATACAAAATTTGCTTGGCCTAATTTTTAGACAGGATGAAAAATGTGACAGCAACTTCCAAGAATTGTGACAGTTTTTAGTGGTATACTGTGGAGTAAATAATGAACCAAAAAACCTTTTCTCCTCGTCATAACAAATACAAAACAACTGATGTTTCATATAATGTCTTGCAAAGAATGCTTTGGATATACAAGCAATCACGATCGATTTTACATACAACAAATCCTTCCACTGGCCTTTTTTTGAATTTTTTTTCTTCTTTTTGGCCGGTTGGAGAGAACAAATCTGTGAGCTCTGAGCCAAGATTCAAAAGGAAGTATAGTTATCTTCTATTGCCAAATCAATTGAAGCTATGAAAAATGTCCAGTTATTTCTTGACTACGCCAAAAATTCATACGTTCAATGTCAAGTCTTCTTGGCCTGCAGCAGTAGTGTCCACAGTGATTACGAGAACTTTTTTTCATATAACAAAAATTAAAGAAAAATAAAATGCTTTCAAAAACCAATGAAATTTATTATCTAAAGCCATAAATGATCCAATGCTATTACAAAATCATCCCTTGCAATTTCATTTGGCTAGAGCAACCCAATACAGTGTTTCTGTGAAGGGTTAAATGTACACAGTCTTACCTTTACATGTAGAAAGACAGTTGATATAAATAAATAATAAACCAAATATCTCATTTTTCATTTTGTTGAATGGTACATACTAATGAGATAATGATACGAAAAAGAACTCGTGGGTTGATTTTTTCAAGTGCTACACTCCCTATACATAGAAATAGTATCAATAGTCCAATGGGTAGATGATTGGCTCATAATGTGGATGGGATTAGTCTACTACCACAGAGCCGGTTCACTCTGACATGATAATTGAAATTTTTTTTTATTCCTGTCTAAGGTCCAGAATGATGTGACAATAACATCTCTGTAATTAAATATCATTTTAAATGGACATTCTATTTTAAAATGGTAAGTCTGTCCCAATAAAGCCACATCATTCCATATACAAATTCTGTATCTTTTTGCTGTCTGTATATCACTACTCATTATTGACATGTTTTGGTTTTCATTTTCACATGCAGATTATTGAATGCGGTGCTTGTAAGAATCCACCAAAACAATCCAAGAAGGGAGTTCTACCTTTTTTAGATACTTCCTGTGAAGTTTCATCGCCCCACTGCATGCTTTTCTGGCATCCAGATTTCCAGTTATGTCATTCAATATCTGGGGAGAGATATAAAGAGAGCGAAAGCAAGATGAGTGACATGAAAAGCTGTAGAACTGCAGCATAAATCGGAAATGTTGCAGCATGACACAACAGGTTTAGTCTGTCATTTCTTATGGTTTTATAAATGGTACCATGAGAAACTGAATCAACTGCATAACGAAACTCAAATAAATGCATTCGTGGAATTCAAGCAAAAGAAAAGATGAGTTCTTTTTAAAACCAAATACAGGTTTAAAATCAAAATTCCCAAACCCAAGCAATTTTCAACTACTTTCCCAAAACCCAGGTCACTTCAACAATTTATTGTAAAAAATTTTGAAGTTGTGTTTTCAAAATGACTTCACCCCTGAAGTCATGTTTTCATGAAGTCAGCAAACTGACCTTAACAACATCATCCAAGCCCCGGGCCTCCGTGAGTAACTTTGAGCTTCTATCTTTCAAAACACTGGCAACAAGGAAAACAGCAATGGGGAGTGGGGCTTCAGCATCTTTTGCTTTCATATTTTCTCTCTCATATTTCCCACAATGGCGTATTTTAGCTTTTGCTTTAGATGATCCCTCGTTAGCTGAATCTGGGTCCTCATACTCAGAGAATAGGTCAGGATCATATTCCAGAGCCCACATCATCTGTTCGGAAGTTAAAAAATGTGACAAAGTCATTAAAACGAACAGCTGATTTATTGTACAAAAGTCCAAGAAAAAAGAGTACTATAAACATGTACAGATAATGTTAATGGATAACAAGAATTTAAATATAATGCCAATAATTGCCAATTCTATGAAAATGAAAAATATATAAATGACAAGCAACAACATAATTTCTTTAGCAAGAAGAAAAGTGAAGTCCAACATTCAACAGAATCAGACTTCAATTGGCCTTTCCAGGAATATTTTTGTGTAATTCAAAAACACTTGAACATGGTTCCATTCTCAATCAATTCATTCCAAACATTAAAAAGGTGCAAGAGAGATTGAACCATACCTCCCAAAGGTACAATGAATCGCCGAAAGAGAATTCGCGACGAAACAAAACCATAAGCATTCGGAAAGCAAATAGATAGTCACCTCCACCTAGGGTTTCTGCATTCCAAGATCAGAAGACACAGTTTAATGTTAATTTAGGTAATAATTTTATGAGGAGATGTTCAAACAAGAAAAGGAACTAATAATACATCAAGTATAGGTGTCCTAATTGCATCCATACAACTCTAAAACCTACCAGAATTACCTATGACTTTGTCTCTTATGTTTTCTCAACTCTAAAACCTTGTTTCTATGTCTTGGTAATTTATTCATTAGCTACATGCCTAATTTAAAAAAGTTGCCACCAACTAACTTTATACATTTGGAGCAAATTTTTATTGACTAACAAAAATGAAGATTTCTTTCATCAACTATATTAACTAATGAACATACATTAATTTAAAAACAGTACCTAAATGCTGATGAAGCTTTGGATCAATAACTTGGGTAACTGATGCCAAATTATTAAGTTGTGTCTCCACCCCAACAGAGCTCTCAGTGCATCTGAAATTTGCTCGCTTTAAAATTTCAAATAACAACACATGTCATAAGCAACTGGAAATCAAATTTTAATTAAAAAAAGAGAAAATTCAAATACAAACTACAATAGCTATAACTGATAATATACATATTAAAATAGGAACAGTTGAATACAATTGATAATACAGAGAAAAACAGTATGCAACTACATCCCAAAAGAGCTGGAAGATTTTAAAGATAAAACCGACTTCGAACCTGCTCAAGAATCTCATCAGTAGTAGGACAGAGAAATTGCTTAAACACTAAAAATGGAACAATTTTGACTAAATTTCTCAGAGCACAACAATTTACATCTTTAGAACAATCCTATTGGTACACAAGATGTATATTAATTGTTTTCGCCATTATGTTCAACTAGATTATATGAAAACTTGGTATATAATTCTATTTCAGGCTCTGGTTTGTCAGCAGTTGACAGCTTTTGTTTATTCCAGAAATCTTGAATAGTATGTCTTCTAGTGACATTATACTTGCAGGATTCCATGGAAGGCAACCAGAAGAGGAGACTTTAGAAAAGCAGGTAGACTGATGTCCCAAACTTTTTATTTTTTAATTTTTATAAGTAAAGTTATTATAAAAGAGGCACCACAGGGTGAGAGGCCTTATGATGCATGGAAAGAAATTAAAAGAGGTTGATGGAGCATGATGGTTAAAAATTTTCAACAAAATCCAATCTACAATGTTTAATATACCAAGCAACACTCGTTAGACATGGAGCCATAACCTTTATTATGATGGCATGGCTAAGAAAGGTTTCAATCCATGAAAACCAGATAAGGAATGGTCAAAAATTAAAAAAACTACTACATAAGGAAGAATGATGCTATTCCAAAACACAATAAATAACATTGCTTGTCCCATTATCCTACAACAATCCTTTTGAAAATTCAAAGATTCAAGACATGGAACCAAGCCAAACAGGATGAATGTAAGTGGTTCTCATCTTTGTGAATATCATATTGTTGAAGCCAATTTGTGTAAATTAAGTCTGCATGCTGATACATAAATCAAGTAACTACAATAAAAATTAAAATCAAACTGTACGATAGGTTCTGTGGAAAAAAAGAAAATTATACCATTCTGCGCATCAAATGTTCAAAGCACCAAAATGCATCGGCTTCATCTTCAAGAAGAATTATCATGGGGGAGCAAAGGTCACTCATTCCTGCACAGCATATTGATAAAGTTTCTTTCAGCTTCAGCAACCTGATACAAAATATAGCTATAAAACTAGCATAGAATTTTGGTTGCATGGAGAAATTGCAGTGAAGTTTCCTGAAAAGCAAAGCCCTTGAGGGTTTTCAGAACATTAGGGAAAAAAGTCTCACACTAAGAGGAACTAAAGGCAAAGCCATGGATGTGAAGAAAATATAGAGAAAAAAAATTCCTGATTGAGATAAATTTTATCATAATTGATCATGGATGTGAAAATATATAGAAACTTTTCCTCATTAGGGCAACTATTATCATAATTGATCATTTTCTGCGTTTTATTGAAGTCATAATTTGACTACCTACCTTGACAGTAGCCTACATCTATATCAAACCATGCATAGACGGCAAGAATGTCCCAAAGTTTTGACAAGTTTTCTTGCTTCTCATAGAAAACTAGAGTCCTATCAGTGCGAACCACATCGAGACCTGGCATAAATATAAATCCAAGCAAGAAAGGTTACAACACAAGTTCAACTACCGAAATTCATGAACAAGTAACAGTTTTTGTTCATCCAACCAATAAAACAAGACTTCAAAATCTTATTCAGAATGACAAAAAAACAGTACACAAATGACCATGAAAAAAAAAGAAAAGAAGTAATTTGTTGTACAAGCAACTTAAACAACACAAACAACAACAGGTTGAGCCCGTTTCTCCATTTTCCAACTCAACAAAGTATATAATTTGAAATTAGAATCCTATCACTTCTTTCTTATTTTCTTTCTACTTCTCTTTGCCTTTCCATTTCCCTTATCAAATCTTCCAACCAAACAAAGATTAAGACTTTTGTTTGAGATTTGATTTTTCTAGGAATTTTTTAGTATTTTGAAATTAAAAAAAAAATTGTGTTTATGAATATGTTTTAAAAATTGTATGAAAAAAAGTGAATAACTAATGTACTTGACTTACTTTTTCTTGTATTTTTAAATTTTTTTTTTTTTATACTCTTTTTAGTGAATTAGCACTAAAAAATCAAGTCCTCAAATGAAGCCTTAACATAAAAAATAAACAAAAAAATTATAATATAATTCTATTTGGTTAAATTTTTGTAATCTAATTTTTAAAAAGAAAAATTTATTTCGTGGGGACAAAAGTCATTATTTTCAATTAATTTTATTTTTTTGAATGAAAATATTTTTTTCTAATTTTAATTTTAATTTTTTTAGTGTTAGTGTTTGTCAAATTATTTATAATTTTATAAAAATAAATAAGTTTTAAAAACTCAACCAAATAGGAATTCTTGTTCATTATATCTTAAATTCAAAAATTTGTAAGTGTATTTTTTTATTTGAATAAAAATAAACTAATATATTTGTATTTATTTAATATAAAAATATATTAATAATCAAGTAAATGGATGTATAAGATGGAATGACAAAACTCAAGTGAAACATAATATTTCTCGACCTCTTTATAAAAGATCAAGAGTTAACCTAATAGATGAAATACTCTCTTATCCAACGTGATATCTGAATTTAAATCTTACCATTACAAATGTAAGTCCCCTTCTCTTATTTTGCTCTTAAAAATAAAAATTCTTTATAGATTTATACAAACACAAAAATACACAAATGACTTAAACTGGTACCCCCACATCATTTTGGCAAAAAATTCTGTAAGAACAACATTTGCTACATCACATTTGGTTTAAAAAACACATACAAAATTTGCTTGGCCTAATTTTGAGACAGAACGAAAAATGTGACAGCAACTTCCAAGAATTGTGACAGTTTTTAGTGGTATATTGTGGAGTAAATATTGAACCAAAAAACCTTTTCTCCTCATCATAACAAATACAAAACAACTGATGTTTCATATAATGTCTTGCAAAGAATGCTTTGGATATACAAGCAATCACGATCGATTTTACATACAACAAATCCTTCCACTGGCCTTTTTTTGAATTTTTTTTCTTCTTTTTGGCCGGTTGGAGAGAACAAATCTGTGAGCTCTGAGCCAAGATTCAAAAGGAAGTATAGTTATCTTCTATTGCCAAATCAATTGAAGCTATGAAAAATGTCCAGTTATTTCTTGACTACGCCAAAAATTCATACGTTCAATGTCAAGTCTTCTTGGCCTGCAGCAGTAGTGTCCACAGTGATTATGAGAACTTTTTTTCATAAAACAAAAATTACAGAAAAATAAAATGCTTTCAAAAACCAATGAAATTTATTATCTAAAGCCATAAATGATCCAATGCTATTACAAAATCATCCCTTGCAATTTCATTTGGATAGAGCAACCCAATGCAATGTCTCTGTGAAGGGTCAAATGTATACAGTCTTACCTTTACATGTGGGGAGACAGTTGATATAAATAAATAATAAACCAAATATCTTATTTTTTATTTTGTTGAATGATACATACTAACGAGATAATAATATGAAAAAGAACTTGTGGGTTGATTTTTTCAAGTGCTACTCCATCCATAGAAATAGTATCAATAGTCCAATGGGTAGATGATAGGCTCATAATGTGGCTGGGATTAGTCCACTACCACAAAGCCGGTTCACTCTGACATGATAATTGAATTTTTTTTATTCCCCTCTAAGGTCCAAAATGATGTGACAATAACACTTGTGTAATTAAATATCATTTTAAATGGGCACTCTATTTTAAAACGGTAAGTCTGTCCCAATGAAGCCACATCATTCCATATACAAATTCTGTATCTTTTTGCTGTCTGTATATCACCACTCATTATTGACATGTTTTGGTTTTCATTTTCACATGCAGATTATTGAATGCGGTGTTTGTAAGAATCCACCAAAACAATCCAAGAAAGGAATTCTACCTTTTTTAGATACTTCCTGTGAAGTTTCATCGCCCCACTGCATGCTTTTCTGGCATCCAGATTTCCAGTTATGTCATTCAAAATCTGGGGAGAGATATAAAGAGAGAGAGAGATGAGTGACATGAAAAGCTGTAGAACTGCAGCGGAAATGTTGCAGCATGACACAATAGGTTTAGTCTGTCATTTCTTATGGTTTTACATATGGTACCATCTGCATAACGAAATTCAAATAAATGCATCGTGGAATTCAAGCAAAAGAAAAGATGAGTTCTTTTTAAAACCAAATACAGGTTTAAAATCAAAATTCCCAAACCCAAGCAATTTTCAACTACTTTCCCAAAACCCAGGTCACTTCAACAGTTTATTGTAAAAAATTTTGAAGTTGTGTTTTCAAAATATGACTTCACCCCTGAAGTCATGTTTTCATGAAGTCAGCAAACTGACCTTAACAACATCATCCAAGCCCCGGGCCTCCGTGAGTAACTTTGAGCTTCTATCTTTCAAAACACTGGCAACAAGGAAAACAGCAATGGGGAGTGGGGCTTCAGCATCTTTTGCTTTCATATTTTCTCTCTCATATTTCCCACAATGGCGTATTTTAGCTTTTGCTTTAGATGATCCCTCGTTAGCTGAATCTGGGTCCTCATACTCAGAGAATAGGTCAGGATCATATTCCAGAGCCCACATCATCTGTTCAGAAGTTAAAAAATGTGACAAAGTCATTAAAATGAACAGCCGATTTATTGTACAAAAGTTATTAACATGTACAGATAATGTTAATGGATAACAAGAATTTAAATTTAACGTCAATAATTGCCAATTCTATGAAAATAAAAAATATATAAATGACAAGCAACAACGTAATTTCTTTAGCAAGAAGAAAAGTGAAGTCCAATAGTCAAGATAATCAGACTTCAATTAGCCTTTCCAGGAATATTTCTGTGTAATTCAAAAACACTTGAATATGGTTCCATTTTCAATCAATTTGTTCCAAACATTAAAAAGGTGCAAGAGAGATTGAATCATACCTCCCAAAGGTACAATGAATCGCCGAAAGAGAATTCGCGACGAAACAAAACCATAAGCATTCGGAAAGCAAATAGATAGTCACCTCCACCTAGGGTTTCTGCATTCCAAGATCAGAAGACACAGTTTATTGTTAATTTAGCTAATAATTTTATGAGGAGATGTTCAAACAAGAAAAGGAACTAATAATACATCAAGTATAGGTGTCCTAATTGCATCCATACAACTCTAAAACCTACCAGAATTACCTATGACTTTATCTCGTATGTTTTCTCCACTCTAAAACTTTGTTTCTATGTCTTGGTAAATTATGCATTAGCTACAGGCCCAATTTAAAAAAGTTCCCACCAACTAACTTTATACATTTGGAGCAAATTTTTATTGACTAACAAAAATGAAGATTTCTTTTATCAACTATATTAAGGAATGAACATACATTAATTTAAAAACAGTACCTAAATGCTGATGAAGCTTTGGATCAATAACTTGGGTAACTGACGCCAAATTATTAAGTTGTGTCTCCACCCCAACAGAGCTCTCAGTGCATCTGAAATTTGCTCGCTTTAAAATTTCAAATAACAACACATGTCATAAGCAACTGGAAATCAAATTTTAATTAAAAAAAGAGAAAATTCAAATACAAACTACAATAGCTATAACTGATAATATACATATTAAAATAGGAACAGTTGAATACAATTGATAATACAGAGAAAAACAGTATGCAACTACATCCCAAAAGAGCTGGAAGATTTTAAAGATAAAACCGACTTCGAACCTGCTCAAGAATCTCATCAGTAGTAGGACAGAGAAATTGCTTAAACACTAAAAATGGAACAATTTTGACTAAATTTCTCAGAGCACAACAATTTACATCTTTAGAACAACCCTATTGGTACATAAGATGTTGTATATTAATTGTTTTCGCCATTATGTTCAACTAGATTATATGAAAACTTGGTATATAATTCTATTTCAGGCTCTGGTTTGTCAGCAGTTGACAGCTTTTGTTTATTCCAGAAATCTTGAATAGTATGTCTTCTAGTGACATTATACTTGCAGGATTCCATGGAAGGCAACCAGAAGAGGAGACTTTAGAAAAGCAGGTAGACTGATGTCCCAAACTTTTTATTTTTTAATTTTTATAAGTAAAGTTATTATAAAAGAGGCACCACAGGGTGAGAGGCCTCATGATTCATGGAAAGATATTAAAAGAGGTTGATGGAGCATGATGGTAAAAAATTTTCAACAAAATCCAATCTACAATGTTTAATATACCAAGCAAGACTCGTTAGACATGGAGCCATAACCTTTATTATGATGGCATGGCTAAGAAAGGTTTCAGTCCATGAAAACCAGATAAGGAATCCATGGTCAAAAATTAAAAAAAACTACTACATAAGGAAGAATGATGCTATTCCAAAACACAATAAATAACATTGCTTGTCCCATTATCATAATTGATCATGGATGTGAAAATATATAGAAACTTTTCCTCGTTAGGGCAACTATTATCATAATTGATCAATTTCTGCATTTTATTGAAGTCATAATTTGACTACCTACCTTGACAGTAGCCTACATCTATATCAAACCATGCATAGACGGCAAGAATGTCCCAAAGTTTTGACAAGTTTTCTTGCTTCTCATAGAAAACTAGAGTCCTATCAGTGCGAACCACATCGAGACCTGGCATAAATATAAATCCAAGCAAGAAAGGTTACAACACAAGTTCAACTACCGAAATTCATGAACAAGTAACAGTTTTTGTTCATCCAACCAATAAAACAAGACTTCAAAATCTTATTCAGAATGACAAAAAAACAGTACACAAATGACCATGAAAAAAAAAGAAAAGAAGTAATTTGTTGTACAAGCAACTTAAACAACACAAACAACAACAGGTTGAGCCCGCGAGCAAAGACAGGGTTTCCATTTAAAAATGCCAAGAGAGTGAAGTAAGCAAGTTCCACAAGGGAAAAAAGGCTACATTTCATGAAAAAACAGGGAAACGAAGGACAAGTTTAGCAAAATAAAGAGAGGGGGAGCCTTTTCTGGTTTTCATTTATAGACAGCTTCATGAGTCTTTTACTGGAAGTTTTTGAGAGATTGGTGTAAACATACTAACATAGGGAACATAGACAGGAATCAAAAGGGGATAGCATGTATATTATATTTTGAAAGTGCACTTCACATTAGGAGTATACTATTTGAGATGAAATGGAAGATGAATAAATAGTCATTTACAGTTGATGACTAGATATACATAACAAGGCCCTTATCAAATTGAACATTCCTCAAGGCATGCTTTGATTGTGTAACCTTAGAAAATAAAGATGCCATGAAAAAGAAAAAGAAAAATTACAATGTGGTTAAAAGATCCTGGGTTCAAGAAACATTATGCTTTCAAATCTAATTGAGATGCCATTGTATTTTTGCTTTTAATTTATAAGTGTATAGGAATGGCATTCCCTATAATTTACTACTATCAAATATAGACCACAATCTAAGATCGGATGCAAGCTCTGAAGATAAATCATGTAACTTCAATATTCAGAACCTGATTCATGAAACACAAATAATGGATTGTGTAACATTACATCCTAAACTGATCTTCAAAAACATAAAAATAGAGGAGGCTACAGAAGATGGACTCAGCGATATGAGTGAAAATCTAATAATAATGATGATGGTAAAGGAAATGTGCATTCAATAGTAACATATATCACCAACCTATTTGATGTAGTGTAAGCTTCCATTGGATTATTTTCTTGTCCACTTCTTTTACCATTGTTGAACTGCAGGGAGTTGCTGTATTTGCATAATTTAAGGCATTAGCAGCTTATGAATTACTAATTGCAGACTTGAAGTTATCAACATTACCATTTTCTTGAGAAACTGTAGCCAATCCCTTGTCTGGATTTGCTTCCAGAAGCACTATAGGATCTTGAATAGGATCACCATCTTCAGTGATTACTGGTGCAGTAATGAACCTACCACTTCCAACAATGGGAAACAATTGGTGGCACTCTTCTTTCAACACAGCATATTGTGCCCTGAAGGCGTTCAAGAAAGAGAGACAATTACTGGATAATCTCCAAATATTACAAGGTAGGCTTTGGTCTATAAAATGGCATAAGGTCTTTGGACAATGTACAGGATAAAATTATTTTAGGTAAAAGCAACGATTAGGTTATGCGAATCATAGTACTCGGTAACAAAACCAATTTGACAAAGGCAAAATATTGTTTTAAATCCTTAATTGAATCAAATCCACATTTTTACAACCTTATTAGTTGATTTATATTTAGCAACTAAGTGCAGGATATATTCATTCAAACAAAGTCAGGAGAGAGAAACAAAATGAGGTAGTTGTAGAGAGAACTATAATGTAGTAAAATATCTGGTTGTTTCCCAATGATCAAAATACAAATATATTTGAAGTGTTATAAGAGCAAGCTTGTATTAAGTAGGGTGTGACATAGAACTATACTACACAATTTTATTTTTATATTTTTAAAAATGAAAAAATACACATCTTAATCATGCAACAAGAATCAGAGCCTTACATCACATTGAATAAATTGGTACAACATGCAAAGAGTTGGAACCCTCAATTTGATCTTGCCTACTAAATTAAAAAAAGATAGGACTAACATTAACATCCCACGTACAACAGTAATTTGGATACTTGAAAGATTCTTTTGAACTAAGCTTAAATGATCTAAAACAGGCTAGTGTCCTGCAAGTAATGAATGATGTTTGCGATAGTGTCCAACGGTAGGACTTCTCGTTTGAAGGGGTTGTTTGGGGTGTCCTAAATAAGTGTATTTTTTGACTTTTTGGACTAAAAAGTTCAGGAAAAAAATATGATTGTTTGGGTTAACTTTTTGACTTTTTATGAAAAAATGTGTATTAAAATATTGTATAAATTAGTGTGTAGTTAGAGTGTAAGAGAAGATTAGAGGTTGACTTGTACGGCTGTCATGTCTGCAAAGTGGAATAGATGGTAAGAAGTAATTGTCTACTTTTTGGGCATTGCACTAGACGGTGCTATTCGGCTCGTGGGGGCCATCACGGGTCCCGTTTTGATAATCTAAACCGTTCAATGTGTAGAACTCGTCGAGTACTATATGCCTGTAAAAAATTACGTTAATCGAATATCGATAGCTATTTGATCAGATTTGTTTTTTTCCAACCGTTAATTATAACATCTTTATTTTTTTATACAAAACTGATTTGATCATGTAGTTATCGATATCTGATCAATGTGATTTTTTACAGGCATATAGTACTCGACGAGTTCTACACATTGACCGGTTCAGATTATCAAAACGGGACCCGTGATGGGTCCCCACGGGCCGAACAACCGTGTGGTAAAATAACACCCAACTGTGCAATTTTTTGTCACATAACCGCAACACAGATCTGATTTCGTCAGATTGATGTGTTGGTGAATAGTGATAAAATTAATTTTTTAATATTTTTTTTTGGTGAATAGCAATAACTTTTTAACTTTTTCATATTTTAGCTAAAAAGCCAAAAAGTCATTATAAATTGTCACATCACTCTCTACTCTTCTGCATATTTTTTTGTAAAAAGCCAAAACGTTATTAAAATAGCATGTTCCCAAACGAGAGAGTGAAGCAAGGAAAGCCAACTACCTTCGACGTTTCCGTATTTCCTCTCGCTCTTCATATGTGCTCTCAAGATCATAACAGCCAAGAAGAAATTCCCAAACTTCTCCTCTAATTGATGGGTGGATCCCCTAATTTCACAACCAATACATGATGATTAGTGTTAACACAAAATCAATGTCATTATTTCAGAAAAGGAAGACATGTATGAGAAGTAAAAGGACACATCAAATGAAGAAACAGTAAATATCAGATTGCATTACATATTTATGAAACAATAAATAATAAATAATTCATTTTCATGCCTTCCACGGATTTGGATTTTTAAAGAACTGAATGACAAGTTTAAGTTCGTATTCCCGCTGCTGCCAATCCCAGTTAGTTGTGCACTTGATTGCATTTTTCTTTTCTTATTCTTTTGATCAGTAACAAAACCAAAATATTATGGCAATATATGACATATTGTAAAACATACATAATAATGATGATGGTGGCAGCGGCGACTGCAGCCTAACATAATGACGCTTTGTTATTAGAATCTTATGATTTGCGATTCGGTTTACGATTCAATTCACATTTTTTGCAAAATCGATACAAATCTATAGGTGAATCTATTTTGAAAGTGAATCTGTAGTAAATTGCATGATTCACAATCGATTCACGATTTGATTCACTTTTTACGATTCATACAATTCTTGAAAGTATCATGTCTGACATATTTCAATTATTTTTTTCTCCATTTTTTTAGTTAAAGTGACATAATACAACTTGTAATAGTATTTTAATACCAAAATAACCAATATATATATATACATGATTTGTTATTATTTTAGAGATTACAGAGTTTTTAATAAGATCTAATCAGATTCAGTTAGACCTAATATATTTTTAACATTTATCTTCTAAAGATATTTAAGATGAAAGTAACTTGCAATATGAATTATCTATTACTATTTTATTGAAATAAATATACTTAATGGTGAGGATAGTTAAACCTAATAATTCTGGAAGTTCTTTATAAAAAAAATCTATATATAATTTTTTGAACAATAAGCATGTATACTTTTTAAAATATTTTAGGTTGATTCTAATTAATTCTTTCTTATTATTAGGTCATTGTTACTTGCAAATGTATATATGCTTATGAAATATCAATATTGTTGTTAAGTTTTGTTACTTGTAAATTGAGAATTTGTCTTTGTTTACTTTATTTATTAAGAATAGTTGATAAGTAATATCTAAAAAAAGAAAAAAGGTCAGATGGTGATCTTACATACGTAATTGTGCTAACTTCTTACCTATTAGACCATGTAATCATTATTCCAAACAATATTTTTATTGATTTAAGTCTAAATATTTTATATCTATAAGATATAATGAACATCCAAGTGTATAGATATATTTTTCTAAGTAATTTAGAAAAAGCGACAGAATCTTAACGATTCATGAGTCGATTCACAATTTGACAACTGTGTAATGATGATACACAAAGACTGGCAATTTCATATCAAAATGCAAAAAGGATAAAAACTATCCATTCCAAAACTCAAAAATATTCATGGCATGCAGTTCAAATTGATTAAGATGGATTTTACTTCTAAGCAGAATGCTCAAATTTACAAGTGCGAAGAAATGTTAGCTTTTGGATTATTGTCTTATACCCAGTCATCCCTCTTAGGTAAAATTACTATGCCATTTTAAAGTCATGAGGAACAACTAAGAACAAGAACACATGCCACATCACTTACCCCACGATGGATTCTACCAAGTGTCCTGCCTATGTCAAGATGACCTTCTGGAGTAAATGCAGCCTTCCATTTTCGCACACTCAGAGTTTTGCCAGCCTGATAGGTAGGTTCAAAGTCAGTGAAGACATTAGAAACTGCACCGTAGAAGTGGACTTGAAATTGAAAAAATTACTTATTTCTAGTTATTTCACCCATAATTGAAATTATGCCACGAATTGTATCCTATTTTTAATTATTTCACCCATAATTTCTTATTTCTAATATTAATAAATGCACACAACTTTGATGTAATGATTTATGATTGCTAAATCATAACAGTCAACTCTAATACCACAAGTAACAACCATAACTCACAAAAGGGCTAGCCAAGGGATGTCATTTGGCTTCATTGTTCCTACTTATATACCCAAGATCGCCCATGCAAACCTCTAAGGTGAGATGGGTTGTTACATATATGAAAAATAATACATTGATTATCAACAGGCCAAGACCACAATAAATTAACATTCCAGCATATTAGTAATTCACTAAAATAGCACAAATAAATTCCAAACATAAGTAAGAATGCACCCACACTTGGACCATACAATAAACACAAAAATGCCCAACAATTCAGTTCTTCTTCCAATATCAATTATTAGTAAACTTGGCAATAATGTGGCCTCATTGTTAAACATCAAATGAATTTGATTCAAATTCAGAAAATGGGTATTATCAACAACAAACCTTGATTTTGAATTTGGTTTTGGGAACATCGGTGCATTCGGGCCGAACCTCATAGAAAGAATCAGTAGGAGTTCCAGGGTCCCTCCACATTTCGAAATATCAAGACAAAAAACAACACTTCCACACAACACCAAAAACAAATCAAATACCCCCCCAAGAATTATAACCCTAAACCAGCACAAACCAAAAGTTGAATCCCTTGATTAGAGATGAAACACCCAGATCAGATTTCAAATCATAGGGACCCAGATCAGGTGCTGGTTCAGGAAACAAATGATTCAAAAACAACAAACTCAAAGCAAAAAAACAAGAAAAGCAAAAATTGCTCTGTTTTTGTTTTTTTTTGGGTTGGGGGGTTTTAGGAGGTGATTGATCTCAGCTGGCTCTGAGATGGGAATTGGGTTATTTTTGGGAGGCCATTGTTGTTTGTGAAGTGGTTGCGTTTTCCCATTTCGCACCACATAAAAACGAAGACCCGTTTAATACGTTGGAATCCATGAAGATGTATGGTTCCATTGTTTGCTGTGTCTTTCTCTCTCTAGATTTTGTGTTAGGTAATGTTGGGTTTGTGGAGAGAGAGAGAGAGGGAGAGAGGGAGAGAGAGCGCGAGGAAGGCGTGGGATCAATGGACTTGGTAGTTGGTAGGTATTCACTGTCCTTTTCGCGGGTGATTTTCCTTTCCCGCCACTTGAAATGAAACCGCCAAACAAAGGAGAGAGAGAGAGAGAGAGAGAGTATGGGCCCCGTTGAGGATTGAGTACTGGCCCAATCAAGGCCCATCCCGCGGGGATTCTATTTACATTTTAAAAATTATTAAGTCCGTATAATTAAAATTTTAATTCTTATTATATCTTAATATAAATTTACTAATAAGTAAAGTAAAAGTTAAATCTTAAAATAAAATTATTTTTTTTATCATACACTCTAACTATGTTTGTTTGGCTCTTTAGGAAGGGATATTAGATTAACTAGTCTATGAGACTTATCTAAAGAGTGTTTGGTTGGTGATATGAGTGAGGGGATTAACTATCCCCTTGGATTAGTAATTCCCCATGTGGTAGGACTAATAAAACCATGAGAAGATTGATATTAGAAATTGAGTGAGGGGATTAGTGAATTTTGAAATAATTTTTAAGTGAAAAATATATTATTTAGAGCAAAAAAATAATTACAATATTAAAAAATACTAAAAATTAAAAAATATTAATTATACATATTAATATTATCTATAGTATTACTAATCCGGTGATATACAAATAAACACTATTTATCTCACATTTCCAACCTAATACCACCATATTAATAATCTCTTTACTCAGTTTAGCATACTCCTAATCTCCTCCATTCTATGAAGCCAAACAAACATGACGTATACATATTCTTCATCTTCTTTCCGAAGTTTTAATTATTTTATCTTCTTATTTTTCATTACAAAACTCCAAACCAACCCACCAAAACTTACTATTATCATTAAATTAATTATACATATTAATATTATCTATAGTATTACTAATCCGGTGATATACAAACAAACCCTATTTATCTCACATTCCCAACCTAATACCACCATATTAATAATCTCTTTACTCAGTTTAGCACACTCTTAATCTCCTCCATTCTATGAAACCAAACAAACATGACATATACATATTCTTCATATTCTTTCCCAAGTTTTAATTATTTTATCTTCTTATTTTTCATTACAAAACTCCAAACCAACCCACCAAAACTTGCTATTATCATTAACATCATTATTTCTTATTCTTACGAATAGAAGAAAGTTTGAACAAAATCAAACAATAGATAAAAATAACAATGAAAACTATTTTTTAAAACAATTTATCAAATAAAAATAAGAATTCACATAAATATCAAGATACAATTTTTATTTTTATTTTTATTTTTATTTTTATTTTACGTAAAAATAGATATTCAACTTGTTTAATGTCACTGTTTTTTAGACTTTCATATCCAAACAAATTCAACATGTTCGGATCAGAAATCCAAACCAAACAATATTGTTCGGCATCATATGTTCGAATGTGGTGACTTTGTTTTTATTTAGGTGTACCTTGAAGAATAATTTAAGAAAAATTATAAAGTGTATTGAGAATAACATAAAATCCTAAATAATTGAACAATGCGTACTAAGAAATTTGGAGTACTTAATATTTTTTGAATGTAAATAGAATCCTCCATCCCACTCAACTCAACTCAATATTTTTAAGGGAGTCTTATATGCCGATCCCATGCACCGGAGTTAATATCTAACAAGTTCTACTTCAAATTAATAAGACTATGTTTTCCATTTTACCCTCACAACTCAATCAGCTAACCTACGATTTTCAATTCACACTTATTCTCACAGTAAACTTACCGTTTTTCTAACGATTCTCAACATCAAAAAATAAGATTTTTTATGATTACTATGTTTATAAAATTCTCACTTAAGATTTATTGAATAATAATTCCAATTAATAAGGCTGACTAATAATTTTCCCTATTTGTTCGATTTTGAAGTTTGAAATAAAAATTTTGATTTAAAATTATATTGGGTAAAGATTTTGAATCGGTTTATTTTTCAGTTATATTTTGGGATGAGAGCTTCTCGGCACGGCCTAATCCACTTTTTTTAAAAAAATTCCTTATTTTACATGATAAACTATAAAATGACAAGTTAAACAATACATATTAAATTGAAAAATTTACTAAATGACTCAAAATTATTTACAATATAATTTGTTAATGGGCTAAATTCAAAAAATTATTACCAGGGTTAAAAATAATTAATAATCCTCTAAGACTAAAAAAATATAAGAATACTTCCATCTTAATTAACTTAAGTAGGCTGGTTAAAATGACTTGAAATTGTCAAAATATTCAATTAACTTATCACTCACTCGTGGGAAGCTATGTATTGAGTTAAAAAATTCTCAATCAGCCAAAAATAAATTAGTTGATATTTTTTTTTCCAAAACCAATCCAAATCAACATGTGCACAACCCTAAGCCACATAGTGGACTAAACCATATTGTTGGCCCCTTTGGGCCCATCAAATGTTGAATCTCATATTACTGAGTTGCTTGGCTGTTATTTTAGGCTTGTTTTGCCCATATAAAAAATAAGCAATTTATTGATTTATTAATTTATTTAAATCATATTACCTCTTTTATATATATTTTTTTGTAATAAGTCATACCCAAAACAAGCTTGACAAATTATACTGACGTCCTTTAAAGTTTTTAAAAAATGTAATAAGTTTTATAACTTAAAATAATTACACTAATTTTTCTAGTTAAGATTAAAGAGATCAAAACTAATATACATGGTATGAAGACATAAAGATACACATAAAATAAAATATACATTTTAATGTAAAAAAAATAATATCAATTTTCATTCATACAACTAGCGAATTTCTAATAAAATATTGGCCAAATATTATATAAATTGAAACCTTAAAAGGAGCTTTGTGTAATTATAATAAATTTATGAGACTTATTTTATTTATATTTTTTAAATATATAAATGGCATATTTCTCTTATTTTTTATACATAATTTTATATTATTTAATATATAAATAATAAATATTGAACAAGCCAGCTAACGAACCGAGTTTACGAGCTGAGTTTTAGAATGTTTGGGCTTGTTTATTAAAAATTTAACGAGCTCGAACGGCAAAAAAAATTAACGAACCGAGTTCGAACGAGCTCTTACCGAGCCGAGCTCGAGCTTGTTCATGAACGGCTCTGTTCATTTGCAGCCCTAGTTGCTTGGCTGTTATTTTAGGCTTGTTTTGCACATATAAAAAATAAGCAATTTATTGATTTATTAATTTATTTAAATCATATCACTTCTTTTATATATATTTTTTTGTAGAGAAGTGCTGCAGACCCCCAGTGGGGGTCGCACCCTCAGTGACGTGGCGCGCCCCCACTGGCTGAAAATCAAAAAAAAAAAAAAAAAACGATTTTTTTTTTACCCAATCACGGAGCTACACCTCACTGGGGGTCTGAAGCATTTTTGTTTTTGTAATAAGTTGACAAATTATACTGACGTCCTTTAAAGTTTTTAAAAAATGTAATAAGTTTTATAATTTAATATAACTACACTAGTTTTTCTAATTAAAATTAAAGAGATCAAAACTAATATACATGGTATGAAGACATAAAGATACACACAAAATAAAATATACATTTTAATGTTAAAAAAAAAATATCAATTTTCATTCATACAACTAGCAAATTTCTGATAAAATATTGGCCAAATATTATATAAATTGAAACCTTAAAAGGAGCTTAGTGTAATTATAATAAATTTATGAGACTTATTTTCTACAAAGTTCAGGAAGGTGACTAATTTACCTTTTAGTTATGGTTCTAACAATCATACTTGACAGAGAGAGTGAGAGAAAGAGAGAGAGATTGATTGTTTCTTCAATCAGATTGAACCTTTGAAGTAGATTCGGCTAGACTGGCATTTATCATATGAACACACATGCTTCTTCTACCAATTACAAGTACTAACCCAATCCACAAGCTATGAATATGCTTGACACTGATCAAGCAAAGTATAACACTTTAGAATAAGTATGTTACTGAGGAAAGTTTTATAAAAAGGATCACAACCTATCTAGTTTTCATTAGAAAGTTATCTATATGCTTTGGCTTTGCAACAGAAGCCAAGAAAGCCCAAGAAAAAGAGAGAGTAACACAAAGTGGGCTACAAAAAGCTTCAGAGTCACAAGCTTGGCCTATAAAAACCCTAATCTTGAACCATTCTTGTCACCCAACTAGCTTCTCTTCTCTCACCCCCCAATCTGAGTTTTTAGGGTTTTGTTTGGCTTCAATAGTCTTACCCACCACCTTTTTTTTTATTAGTTTGTCTGTTTCAAATCAAATGGCTATTAAGAGCATTTTGAGATCAAATCAACATCACAAAGCATTTTATGTTTTGGGGCTCTTGAATCTTGTGCTGTTGATCCAGAAAGGTGGTGCATTTGAGTTCACGGTTGGTGGTTCAAATGGGTGGAAAGTCCCCTCTGATTCATCTGCACTCTATAATAAATGGGCTGAAAGGAATCGGTTTCAAATCGGAGACTCACTACGTAAGTTCGATCATTTTTTACTATGACGAATAAGAATATATTCAATTCTATTTCTTATGTCTACACACAAGTTAATAGAGATGCGCATTAATAAAAGCACATGAAATCATATGTAATATTTTTTTTTCTGCGTTGTACATAAATAAATTTATAGTCACATTTTTTTAACAATACATTAATAAATACACGATAAATTAAGATTGAAAAGGAACGAATTTCATAAATAGTTCTAATCAGGTAATCAAGTCAAACCCGATTAAAACTAATCACAATTGAATAAGTTGTTCATCAAAATGATATGTATAAATTAATTTTTATTTTTTGTAATATATCAGTTTTTTATCTTCCTTTAACAATATTTACTTTTCATTATATTGTGTTCAGAGTTAGAAAATCCCTACAAACACATATAACTGTTAAGATAATTGAACACAATCATTTCACATGATCGATTATCTGATTCTATAATTAATTTATGTGCAAGTAAAAGAACGGTTAGTGTTTTATTCGTCGTCAAAAAATGTATGAATAATTTAAGATCAAGATGTTAAATATCACCCGTTAACACATATCCGATATCGTTATAGGCTATTACTTAACTACCTCAACTGTTTTTGTTTTGTTTTCTTTATTGCAGTGTTTGTGTACCCAGCTGACAAAGACATAGTGCTTCAAGTAAACAAAGATGACTACAACAACTGCAACACAGCACAACCCATCCAAAAATTCTCAGATGGCCACACCAGCTTCAAGTTCAACCAATCTGGTCATTTCTACTTCATAAGCGGACTCAAAGACAACTGCCTCAAGAATGAGAAGTTGGAGGTGGTGGTTATGGCGGACAGAACCCTCTTCCACCACTTCTCCACCACCACCCCCTTCTCCAGCGCCAACTGAAGGGTCGGTGGAGAATACCCCATCTCCGACTCCTTCAGCCGAGCAGACACCTCCTCCCAGTGCTGCTTCTTCAATTGTCGTCAACTTTGTTGCTTCCATTGGAGCTTTTCTGAGTGGCTCTCTTCTTTTGGGTTTTTAAGTGCAGTTCTTTTATATACACACAAATTAGTCACCTGTTTCTAAACTTTTTCTTCTAAGAGTTGAAATGTTTATTTATTTATTTTGTTTATTTTTTAAAGTTTATTTTTTTTGAGTTTGTATTATTTTCTTAACCTTGGTCTCAGTGGATTCAGCTGGGGCTTTAAAGGCAAGTAGGTATTTGAAATTTGATTGGTACAGTTGAGAAATAAGCTTGGGTGAATTGCACCACCATGTAAAAGCAAATAAATAAACAATGTATAAAAAGAAATAAATTGGTTTTTACATGTTTCATGTCTGTGAATTACTTCTTGTATTTTATTTTTTATCAAATTTTTTGATGGAACTATTTGTACCCCCATTTTCACTAAAAACACATATTTTGCTTTTATTATACAATTCTTACACTAATACTGAAATGAAAAAATTGTAAATATATATATATATAAATAACTCAAAATAATTGTATTTTTGTAGAAATACAAGTAAAAATTGTATCTTATATTCCCTGTCTCATTTTGTTAGTCTTTTTTCCCATTTTAGAATGTCTTATTTAAAAAGTCAAATTAAAAAGCACTTAGTTTTTCAAAATTACTCTTTTTAAACAGCTAGAAGTACATTAAAAATTAAAAAAGAGGACATTATTGGAATAAATGCTTTAAAATTTGAATTTAAATATAATGATTACATGTCCACTAATAAAGTTATAATTTCTAAAAAGAATTATCAAAATGGGACGAAAGAAGTACCATAGTTTTCACATGTGTCGAAACAAATCCACAGGCACATCATAAAAACAAAAATGCAAAAAATGTAAAGGTTTAAAAAGCAACAGTTGAGGTTGTTAGCAAAAGTGTGAAGAGCTTTATTGCAAATTAATTTTATACAGAAGTGTTTTTAGGATTATTAATTTTTCTATAAAATAGTAACTATCAAATCAAATCCAATGCCTACTAAGGATTTATTTGAGATGTTCTAAAAAAGTATATTTTTTGACTTATTGGCTTATATGAATTGAGTTTAGGTTGAATTTGATGTGTTAGAGAGGTGATGTGATTTAAATAAGATAGAAGTACCATAGTTTTCACATGTGTCGAAACAAATCCACAGGCACATCATAAAAACAAAAATGCAAAAAATGTAAAGGTTTAAAAAGCAACAGTTGAGGTTGTTAGCAAAAGTGTGAAGAGCTTTATTGCAAATTAATTTTATACAGAAGTGTTTTTAGGATTATTAATTTTTCTATAAAAAAGTAACTATCAAATCAAATCCAATGCCTACTAAAGATTTGTTTGGAATGTTCTAAAAAAATATACTTTTTGACTTATTGACTTATATGGATTAGATTTGAGTTGAGTTTAATGTGTTAGAGAGGTGATGTGATTTAAATAAGATGATATGACTTAAATAGAATAGTGACTTTTTGTATTATTTAGTGTACCCCAAACCAAGCCTGAAATTGTACACAGTGATTTATTATTGAATAATAATATACCATATTGAATTCCTACACCATAAATATGGCACACCAATACCTCGTAGGTACAAAACCCAAGCCAACTTAAGACTTGACGCATCACTCTTGATCAAAAGAAAATTTTTAAGGTGCACAAAACTTAATCACAAAATCGAAGACAACCTTTTCACATAAGATGTGACCTAGAACCACCAAATGTGTAGATCGCATCCCATGTGAAAGGAATTATATTCATTTCTAAGATCGAATTCTGTGCACATAGAAAAACTGTGATCATAATAGCTATCCAAAAGCCCTAACATCCATAAAAGAAAAGACATGGAAGTAAAAAGTAGAACATAAGGAACCTTGGGTTGAAAACAATGGAGATTGGATCCTTCAAAAGTAACAAAATTTCAATTATCAGCAATTGAATCTAACAGTTTCATCTCTTAAAAAGCAATACGTTACAAGTCTTTCACTTCTTAATGTTTTTTTATACACTGACTAATTTCATATTTCTATCAAAAATTCTTTCCTAGTTCAATTTTTTTCATTAGTCTCAAAGTGTTGTGTAGAATTGAATCCACTATCCCCGCAACCTGAAACGCCCAGGGAAGACAATATTAGAAACAGACTACTATTAAACAATTAAATTTTATCCTGCTGCCCCCATCACACAATTATGGGCCTCACGAAACAGAGAGAAGTATAACTAACCGTGAAAACACCACCAATAATGGCACAGATGTTTGTGATGAAGTGCGAAAAGGACTTTGATTTTTCTGTTATTAATACCTGGTTACAGAAGGAAACAGGTTATGAGAACAGACGAAACATCAATCAGATCCATTGTCAACACTAACATTTAATGGACTGTCTTGAACCTGCATTGGAGACAGTTCGAAATGGAATTTCGCAACAGGGATATGTACACTGTGTACGAGACTACTGTGGGCTGTGTACTCGTACTCCACTAAATTTTGTTCGCGAGAGGATCTTGTTATCACCTCCGTCTTTACAACTTGAAGATAATGTTCTATCTGCAAAGGCAATAATAAAAAATAAAAAAAGTAGGAGCAAAGTGCAATTATTAAACATTAAGAAATTCTTCCCAGCTCAAATAATCCAAGATTCATTAAACATCCCCAATTGCTTGAAAGAAAAGACCTCGTGAGATATATAGTAAGCAGACTAAGAACTGAAGCTTACAGTAACATCGGCATTTGAATCACCAGGGTGGATGATATACTCCTGGCCATCCAACTTGTCATGGCTTACACCAAGATAAGGTAGCATTCGTTTCATATCACTCATCGCTGCTGCAGATATCTTTTTCCCAAAGGAAAGATGAGAAATGATGTGTGACATGTTCATCTTAGAAGAATCAAAGGAGTGAGATCCTGAACGAGCTGAGATTACAAGGTTGCCAGGAACCTGCAGAGTACAAGGAGTGATCAAGAGCGAATAAATACAGAAATAGTGATGAAGAAATTAGAAACAATCCTGTTCCTGAGAGAAAAGGTATGCACCTACCTAAGTAATGTCCTTTGGGTTAAATATAAAGTGTGAGGGGATGACCTAAAAGTTATGCCATAACAATGTTTCAAAGGAAAATATATGACATCATTTTAAAGTAAAGATTCACCTTCTTAACACGGACAAAACCTTCAATTCTGCATCCTCCTACTACTGGTGCAGGTCTTTTGTCTGCCACAGTGCCATTACTCTCCAAAGCTAACTGATGAGACTCCAATGGAATAGGTGCAACCAAATTTTCCATTGTCTGCAGGAGATGGAAACTCAAGATCAAGTCAAGTGGCACTCATCACAATAGGAAGTGAAATTAAAACTAGTCCCAAGTATTAACAAGTTAACAAATGAACAATCATTAGACTCCAACAATAATTTGTTCTTACATTGACCAGGCTATCTGTATCTCGATCTCCATAATATGATTCATGTTCATGGTGCCCATGTTCATCCCTAAAGCAAGTCGGATGACAAGATAGTCCATTAGTTGGCAGAAATATAAACGTCGTCAAGCAACGTGGTATCTCAGAAGTAATCAGATACAATTTATAACCGAAAAACGCTGATAGTTCAAACAAATATATATATATATATATTATATACTTAGAATAGCAAAACCAAGTAATGTGAAGAGCAGACATTCCTGGTTTCTCTTCAAAAGTAATGGCAGCAATAGTGGATCCAAACTTCAAAATAGCCTGGCTCAAAGTCTCTCTGTGTGAGATCGTATTTACCAATTAAAAATGTCTCATCTCTTTTAGTAGTATTTGTTTTTTGGTCAACCATTATTTTCCCCAGTTGAATGGGACTGAAATCCAAAAATTATTTTGGCAAAGCTCAAGAAGTGGAAGTTTTCACATTGATTTTGGAATCACGTTTAAGGAGATGCATGTGGATTTACCCATTGGGAGGCCAAACTAGCCCAACCATAAACCCTGAATGTACAAGACTATAATTGGGCACACAAACAGTTATTAACTTTTTAATTCTTTATTATCTTAATGATCAAACTATAACTATTTTGTGGTGTAGCTAAAGCACCCAGTAATGGAGATCAATTTTTTAAATTTTGAGAATCAGCTACTTAACCCAACTCAAGAAGCCTTTGTCTCAATACTTGGGATTGGCTACATAGATCCATTTAATCCAGTTGAGTCTATTCAGAGTCGTATCATATTTTGGGAATCAGAGTAAGGTAGCCTACTAACTACCTATCCCATACCCTGTTGTAAGCAGGAGCCTTGTGCATGTACTTAGAAACAAAATATTATTTTCCTCTCATTTTTTTACTTCTTCATTTAAGAAAGGAAATGAATTAAAGGGGCTAGTATATGGGGGCTTCTCTCTTTTGTAATGATCTCTCGAAAATATTTTTAATTGGGGTATTTTGTGACATAATCGGTGGGACATCTTTCTTTGCAGAGTGCAAAGAATTATTTCTCCGTTTCTGCTTCTGCAAGTATTCCCCTCCAAAGTTCGTCTTTGTTCTTCGAAGGACTTTTCCCCTTCGATAAAATTTCTCCCCATTTATATACTGTCGACTTGCTGTTGGAGAGTAGAGTTTTTCTATATTTGGATGAAAGATTCTGCTGTTGGTTCAGGTGAGATCGAAAAATCTCGGGTTCGTAGTTTGGATCTTCTTTGTGTATTGAACCATGGCATGAAGGTGAGGGTGACCAATTCTTTTTCCTCTCAAGGCCAAACTATAACAGCTTATTCAGATTAATCTTCAAGCTTTATTTTTGGATTTGACTAAAATATAAAAAATGTCAATAAATTATGATTTCAAAATTTATAATTTCCTTGATCAATTTAAAAATGAGCAAATTCCTAAGTAACAAAATGTTCACTATTTGCTATCTCCTAATCTTAACTTTTTTGACTAAAGTGATTCTCTCGAAATTTCTAATTTAGTGTTATTTCCCTCCTCGCTTTCGTCCACTAGAACAATATTTGATAATATAACTTATTTTTTATTCATATGGACCACGTAAAATTCGTATTCAAAATCTGATCACTTAAAAAATGAGCAAATTCCTAAAATAGGATTCCATGTTACGATTTTTTCAAGCATGGGATAACAATTGTCTTCAAGCATGCATTCAAATATGAACGAATCAGGTATAGAGTTTGATACAGATAGTAAAGATACATAACAGCGTGAGTTACCTAACATCACTTCCTTTACGGAAAATGCGAATAGATGGATACCCTTGTATATGATTCCTGAAAATTCAGTATGAAGTACATGTCAATGAAAAATAACAACTGCAACAGTGAGGAATTAATACAAGGGAAGCTGCAAAAGAAGTATGCCACTTAAAAGATTTACCACCATTCTAATCTTACATGGGCACGCAGGAAATGATCATATATCATACAGTAAGAAATCATCATTTGGAAACTCCAAAATAAGAAAGGATTAACAGATTACTAAAATGTACTTCCAAAGAAAATAAAGTTGGAATAGTAAACATAATTATGAAACTAAGGACACAGGCTTGAATCCTTGCAAATTTCCACAAGGATCTGTATACAGGACACAAAAACCTATTTGAGAAGTTAAGCACCATGGAACTGGAAACATGTCAATAAGCTACAAAGAATGAACGAAAAGGTTTGCAAACCCAGATCAACTCAAAAAACAAGTGTTAGTTCAATCAGTGCAAGAGGAAATCAAAAATTAAAAGAAAAATAAAAAAGGAAAGGACAGAAAAATGGAAAATAACTTAAACTTCAATAGGCACACAACAGAAATCCATGTAGCCTTAGCTTGAGCCTATGACCAAAATTACCAAGGATTTACAATTCTGATATCTAGAGATGAATAAAAGAAAAATACTTGAACTTTGTAAAAAGGTTACATGGAAAAGAAAACTGCTTTAGATTAGTATAAATGGTAATGAACAATAGAGCACAATAACCCATTGTTGGATTAATCCAAATTCAATTATAAGTCGGGAAAAATATTGATTTAAGAAATACCTTCTGCACAAATCAACTTCTTCGGTGCAATCAACCTTCCCCAAAAGAATGCGGCCATCCACTTCTGGGTCATATCTGAAAAAATAGGTTTGACATCAGATTTTCGATGAAGCCTAGTCAAAATAATACTAGTAACTATATTAAAGGGGGAGAAAAAGAGGAAGTCATTGTTCACAAAAAAAACATTTAAAAGGAAAAGAAAACAACAGAGATGCAACTAAACCTTTCTCTTATAATTTTGGCTGCTTTCTCCCATGAAGGTTTCTGAAACAAGAAGACCAATGAGGCAAAAATGTCAACTAAGTTCACAACAACATCCATTTAAAAAGCAGATTTTGAGATGTATAATTTCCAATCAATTCCTTAGTGTGAGATCATATAACTCATGAAAAAAAAGAAAGCAATTCAAAAATGGCAAAAGAAAGCTAAGATTTGTTCAGCAATGGAGTAGTAATAACTGGAGATATGCAAAAATTTAACATCCATAAAATAAGTAGACACTATTTCTTAGCAAAGAATAAACATTGAAAGGCAAGGAAAAAATGCATGCACGACAATTCAGCTAGTAACGGTTCAATGGTGAATCATTTCAGCTAGAGTGAATTAGGGCAGTTCAGGAGCCTGATTCACCTGAGAAAACCGACTGACCTGACCTATGGTACACAGACACAGACACGAGACACGACGCAGACACGCGGACATGCAAATTTTCAAAAAATGGGGGACACGACACGCTAGGGACATGCTTAATATATATAATTTTATTTATTTATTATATGTAAAATTAAAAAATATATATTATTTATTTATTTATTTATATTTATTTACTTTAATATCAAATTTCATTTACAAATTAATTTTTTCCTACAAATAAAAATAATTTATTTTATGTATGTTTAAGTTGAGCAAATAAAAATACTCAAAAAATAGAAAAAAAGAAAAAGACGAAAGAAAAAAAAGAAGGGTTTTATATATATATATAATATATCAGGGATAGAGGGGAACAAAAAAAAAAGAATAGAACAGAGGAGAGAGAGAGAGAGAGAGACGATCGCGCAGAAAGAAGAGAGAGAGTCAAAGAGGCATAGTCGATGAGTTCAACACAAGCGAGAGACAAAGTTGAAAGCGAGAGAGAGAGAGACGAACACACAGACTTACGGAGAGAGACGAACAGAAGAAGAAGAAAAACGAAGAAGAAAAGAAGAAGAACAACAAATTTGAAGAAACGAAAACAGACACGAAAAACATACCTCGATTTAGGGCTTCAACAGATTCTTCTTCACCCCCCCTCTCTCTCTCTCTCTCTGTATTCAATTAGTTAAGGTTTTTGTCTCTCTGTATTCAACGAGTTAGGGTTTCTCTCTCTGTCTCTAACGTGTCCAAGCATGTCCCAAGCGTGTCCAACTAGAAAAATTCAAAAAAAAAAAGGGGGAACATGTTAGGTAGTGTCTGACACGTGTCCACTGTGTATCTGACACGTATCCGTGTCCGACACGTGTGGGACACCCATACGCTACCTTCGGAGAGGTGTCCGTGCTTCAAAGGACCTGACTCAAGAAAGTGACAAACGGTCAGTTTCACTTGTAAGGTTAGTAAGCTGTGGGTTTCATATATTTTTGAAATTGGCTCTATGGTTGGTTTTCGATTTTAACAACATGTAACCTGTGAAAACTGAACTGACTGAAATATTTAATATTACACATATTTCAACACGTGTTGGCCTTTGATTAGTTTTCCATATTACTCGTATCACTTAACCCTTATCTCTCTCACACCTCAATGATAAAGACTCTGTCTCTCTCTCAGCTCACCTGAAGGATCAGGCCACTGATCAGATCTCCCTCTCCCTCTCCCTCTCCCTCTCCCTATTCCTTTCTATCTCTCACCCCATTAAATGGTAATGAACACCCTCTCAAGTCTCAGCCATACTGTGTACACGTGAAGTAATGATGAACGAACTCTCAACCCTTTCTTTCTCTCCTTCTCTTTCCATCACTGGAGATTGCCGCTATATGTTGCTCTCCCTTCCTCTGACTAGTTCACCTAAGCAGATATAATAGATTTTTTGTTATTAATTAGGACATGGTGCCCTCCCCTCTGATGACATGCTGCGACACCTTCTCAATCACATTTGTCGAATGAAACCCTAGGTAAGTAGATTTGTTAAATATAAATATATATTTTAGATTTTTTGTTATTAATTAAGACATGGTACCCTCCCCTCTGACGACATGCTGCGATGCTGCCTCAATCACATTTATCTAATGAAACCCTAGGTAAGTGAATTTGTTAACTAAAATATATATTTTTTGTTAATTTCTTAATTCTTACTGTTCTCTATTTAATTTCTATTGTATCAAATTTATGTCATGATCCTTGATTTTGTTTCTTCTTCTTTTTTTCCCAGCTCCTGTTGAATCACATGACCTTAGGGTTTGCATTTGGTAAAGGCAGAGCTGTAGTGGCGCAGTAGCGGAACTTCAGAGGTGGTAGCAATGTTTGTGTGTGTGTGTGTGTGTGTTTTCTGTGGAGATTTTCGGCACCGACCAAACCCCACCGGAAAATGGAAGGGTAAACATGATCAATATCAATCAGTAGTTTGATCGAAGTCGGTTGGAGAAATGCTGAACCAGATACATTCAGGTCAGTTGGCGGATCAAGGTCAAACCAGAGTCCCTCCAACCCCTGAACAGCCCTAGAGTGAATCAAGTGAGGGAAGAGAACAAGACAAGCCACTAGGAGGAAATTTCACAGTGAAATGTTCCCAAAGAAAGCACCCAAATTAGAATAAATTTCTTGACAATTGTGCAACAGCTCTCCATCATTGTGTCCGTGTGGCATAGTGGATCTTGAGAAACTATGATGGCAGCATCATAGTTTTTTAGAGAGGTGGGGGCCTACGAAGCCAGAGCAGGAGCTCTCTTGGTTGGTCTAAAAGAAATCAAAATAAGAAATTTTTTAGAGATAAGAAGAAAAAAAATCTCCATGTGATTCTGACTCCTGATATTTCATGTGAAGCAAATCCTCAAGTTGTCGAGGGTCATTTCTTCTCGTGCCCATTGGACTATTCCTTGTGGTAATTTTCCTGTCCCAAACTCTATTACAAGTAGGAAGCCCTAAAGGGGGCACAGATATTGACAAATATCTGAAAATTTTAACTTGCTAAATAGTATTGGACTTCAAAGTACCAACAAGTTACATGGAAAAAGAAAGTGAAAAGATTTCTAGAGGATGTTTTCTAATCATAAAGTGAGTACAAAAGAATAATTACATAAATGAGGCATCAATGTCAACCATATATTTGCTGAAATATATGGTCGTCTAGGTGGCCTTGAGTCTGAGCACTGAGGCCCATTGAACAATGAAATAGATCATTGGAACATACTACAGGCGAGCAAAGATAGAGAAATACCAGGCGATTACTCCAATAGCACCAAGGAGCATAGAAATTGACAACCAAAATTGGGTACCTGAAAACAAATGTTTGATTTCCAGTGTCACCACAAAATGAAGAAAATCTCCCACAACAAACACTAAAGCACAATAATACGAGGGTTTGAAAATCAAATTTGGTCCACTTACTTATGTGAAATTCTATCAAAATTACGTTCGCTTAATATAAAGGAACCTTCAGCGTACTCTTCATCGCCTTCATCATCGTGCTTAATCTCTCCTGAAATTGGCCCTGAGTGAAACTCAGAGCCAGTAGGTTTTAAATTTGAATCTATAGGATATTTGCGGATTGTTTTTGTTATATTCAACCTGTTCTGCAAATGAAATGAAACAAGTTCGGGTCAGTTCACATTTCACAGAGATACAGAAAATAAATAAATAAATAAATAACAATTCACACTCAGAAAGCAGAGAGATAGACCATATTTTAAATGGAATAAATAAGATGATTAAAACCTAATTCTTGTTGATTAAACAAGAACCACAAACAATTTTTGTAGAAGCAATAACTTGAATGCATTCAATGCTCGAAATTTACTGTTCAAAGATTAATGAATTGAAGTGAATTGAGTCATTGAAACTTACTGTTCCCAGGACATCACTAACATCAACAGATGCAAATTCACACGAGAGTGCAGGAAAGCTACAAAAATGTTAAGGAATGTTAGTTTTAAAACACACCAATTAAAAGTAGATTGTCATTGCAGAATGAAAAGCAAAGCATTTGACAGAATAAGAGACACACAACCACCATAATTGAATATTATAGAATGAGTAGCAATGTAAAAGAACTATATATATACTTAGTAGGAACTTCATAGAATATCATCATGTTAAGGGTATAAGCAGATGTGCCACAGCTACTGAAATCTAAAATTACACAGTAAGCTTGTTAGACACCATCAGTGTAACCATAATGCCTCACCTGCACAGGTGTAACTGGCATCATTTGAAGCTCTAGAGATAACCCAAAGGTCTGAAGTTTAATTCTTTCCCAGACTAGCCTGATAGTAATACAACATATTTAGGCCATCTCCTGTATACTGAAGAAGTGGTCTCACCTCCAAAGGTGTGGACATATGCGATGACACCAATATATACGATGCAATATAATTAGTTTATTTTCAAGAGAAGTATGTATCAACATAGTAATTACAAGGAACACAAGCAATAGAGGTTCTCTATTAATAGAATCTCATGACCTCCATTCTAGTCAAAGAACTGAATTTTGCCATCATTTATTTTACACAAATAAGAACAGTGTGGGTTCTTCCAGTTGCCTGTCGCAGTATTTGAAGAAAAAAAAATGATATAAAAAGTACAAAACCATAATGGATATTTTTTCATGAGGAATAGAATTATGATCATAAGACCATACCTAACATTAAAATCAATGCGCAAAAATTCCCCATCAGAACTCTTGTCAACAATTACAGATGTAGATGTGCTCACTGTCAAATAATTATTCAGTTCCTACAAAAAGAATTTAGATATTTATCTCTACGACAAAAACAAAAACCATAATAGCACAATACGTTGTTAAGAAGAACAAGCATGCATACACGTAATGCAACTAGGAAACTACATGAATTCCTAGAATGTAAAAAAATGATAGTTAATGAATGAAAGAAGGGAGAAAAACAAAGCAAAATTTTACAAAATGACACTACATCAATACAGAACTGAATATCAAATCCTTAAATCTCCAACCAAAGAGAAATAAGCTTCCTACCATTCCAAATAAAAATATCATGGAAAACGCGGCTACTATGGATAGTCCAGCACCTGATAATGATGCCTCTGTCAAATCTCTCGGAATTTTCCTGAAACAAATAAATAAACAAAAATAAAGTAAAACATCCAACAAAATGCAATTGAACTAATAAAAGGATGGTTGATAACTATGAGACGATGTAATCTTTTAAGATAATATTTTGAGCAAGACTTTTGCTTTGCCATAGGCTACCAAAACTGAAGGAAAAGAAAAAGAAGAGGCCACAACTGGTTTATCTCTCCTTGTTTCCTTCCTTCTATTAGTATTATGATAATACTTCATCTGTAAATTTCAAAATAAAACTAGAAGTAGAATAATATCCCCCTCATGAGCATATCCCCAATAATCTCAACAAAGCTTGATTGAAAAAGACACCTAACTCCTAAACCTTCAGAGTTCGAAGTGAAGATGTGAGCATGCTACTACTTGATCAATCAACCTCCCCTAGTGCACAAGGCTGCTTTCTCTCTCTCTCTCTCTTAAATGACACGACAAATTTTGTAATAAATGCACAAAAATTGTGCCAGAAACATGGAACCACGCATATTTTATGGACAATAAGTACACCTCCAAAAGGAACCCCCAAGCACAAAAGCCAAAGTGCATATGGTATTGGTACTTCTACTTCCCTAAAATAGCGCAACAAATTTTGTTCTTCCCTCACTTGACAAAAATTGTCTTTGCAATTTCTCCGATCACTTTTAAACTTAATATTAAACAACCTTCTAATGCAAAACCCAAATCATAAGGAACAAATAAACAAATCTCAAATTTAGGTATACATTCAAGATAAATCAAAGCTGAGGCTGTTAAGCATGAAAACACTCTCACACTGATTCAAGTCTCCAAATGGTAGATCTGTATCCAGTCTACCCTCCCAACACCCTCGAATTAGGAGTCCAATACTAGTGAATTGCCTTGTTTTAATTCAATATAATTCAAAAATTAAATGCAATGGAAACCATAAACAACTATCCAAATCTTTAGTAGACCTACTCAAAACCAAAACCTAAGGGCATCTCCAATCCTTACCATTTACTCAAATCAAATTTAAATTTGAGTAAAAATGGTCATAATATCTCTCCACTCCTTTCCCACACTCATACCAAAGTTACTCAATTTTTGACCCTTTTTTTTACTCAAATTCATATTCTAAAGACAATTTTGGGATACACAATAGCTTCGAAATTCACAATTGTGCCACTTACCAAGCTTTTTCTCAAATTTATGCTTGCATTTGAGTTTGGCCATTGGAGTAATCTATATATCAAATGAAAAAGTTTTTACTCAAATTTAAGTAAAAATACGATCTAAAACTTGAAGAACAATGACAACGTCCTGATCGATACATTCATAAAACTCATGGATATCTATCTCGGATCCAACAACAAGAAGTCAATTTCACAAACATAACAATAGAGATCTGACCTGTAAAAATCAACAGATTTGAGCTTGTGCGTCGAAACCATGATTACGACGCCAAATTGGAATTAGAGACAGAGAGAGACAGAGAAACACAGCTCGAATCTCCGGTGTTATAGATCTGTTGAGAGAGAGAGAGAGAGACTGTTATGCTTCGTTCGTAACAAGATCGAAGCAGAAGAAGAATTTGGTTTTGCTTGGGACTCGACGTTTTCTACACTGGCTTTTGCGTTTAATTCGGGAGATTTTTACTATATTTTATTTTCTCAGATATTAAGCTGAAATCTGTGTTGGGTGGCTTCAGTAAATGGTCAAGTACTTTGAATGAAATACTTAAGAATAAATTACACGCTCTTAGGCTCCGTTTGGATCGTCGAATTAACTTTTTCATAGTTTAAATGAGAAGTAATTATTTGTTGCTTTTGCAGGTCACATAATGTTTTATAAGTGTTGTAATTAGTAAAATTAAAATTCACAATTTTATATTGAGTGATTAATAAATATAAAAAAATTATAATATAATAATAATTAATAAAAACTATAAATATATGACGTTCTAAAAATATTCAAAAAAAAATTTAAAATGAGACCTTAATAATGGGCTGAGGCGTTAATACTGTGTGTGCCCAAGATTCGGATTTGTGTGATCTAGCTAACCTCGCCAGCATTAGGGGTGTAATTTTGATCCATGGCCCGCATGCGGCCCAAAGCCCGTCCACGGCCCGATGTGGGCCCGGTCCGTTTAGGCCTGAGCCCGAGCCCAAGCCTAGGGTCTTGGACCAAGGCCTAAGCTATCGTTTTGAAACCCGACCCGGCCCGTGGCCCGACCCATTGACAAGCCCGACCCGAGCCCCGGCCCGGGCGATGCCCAATGTTATTTTTAATAGAAAATAATAAATTTTTGATGGAAAAAATTTTTAAAAAAATTAAAAATTTGTTTAGGCCCACCCAAAGCCCGAGCCCAAGCCCAAGCCCAAGCCCAGGGGCCCGGCCCCGAGGCCCGGCCCACTGGCCCACCGCAAAGCCCCAAATACCCCTGGGCCTAGGCCTAGTTTTCTAGCTCGTTGGCTGGCCCGGCCAGGCCCGATTTTTTTGCAGGAGCCCGCAAGACCCCGCACGGCCCGAGCCCGAATGGGTCAGGCCAAAATTACACCCGACGTTTGTTTGGTTACAAAAAAAAACTAAAAATTAATAAAATTAAGATCTTGTTTGGCATGTAACATTTTTAATTTAAAAGTTAAAAGATTATTAAAAAATCAAAAAATTTATAACTTATACTAAAAAATTAAAGATTCTATTTTCTCTCTACTTTTTGTATATATATATTTTTTTATAAAAAATCAAAAAGTCATTCTCAACATATTAATTTCTGTTACCTCATATTTTAGGCAAAAATTCAAAAAATACTAAAATAGTCAATTCTCAAACGAAGCCTAAGCTTTCGTTTAGTTTAATTTTTAAAATGAATTTTGAGTTGTATTTTAAAAGATGAGTTATTGAAAATTTATTTGATTATGAGTTTTGAAAATAATTTTTGAATAATTTATAATTTTTTTTTTTTGTTATAGTTGAATAGATAGGTGTGAAAAAGAATTTAATTAATTGATATGTACAATGTGAGAGAATGAGAGAGAATAGATAAAAAGTGATTAATTGATTGATTTATTAATAGTTTTAAAATAAAATAAAATAAAATAAAAAGAGAAGGAGAAAGGAGAGGGAAATTAAGTTTTGAGTTGTATTTTAAAAAGGATCAAGCTTCTCTTCCGTTTGAGATCCGATTAAAGCGAGTTGTTGGACCCATACGAATCCTATTTTGATAATCTGAACCATTCAATATGTAGAACTTGTCAAATGTTTTATCCTTGTAAAAACTCAAGTTGATCAGATATTGATAGCTACTCGATCGCACCGTATTTCTATCAACGGTAAATACAAGTTTTAAAATAAATTCTTGACAAAAATCTAATCCGATTAAGTAGCTATCAACATCGAATCAACTTAATTTTTTACAGAAATAAAGTACTCAACAAGCTATACACATTCAACGGTTCAACTTATCAAAACATGACCCTTGGTAGATCCCACGGATCCAACAGTGGACGGGAGACAAGCCTGTCCTTTTAAAAATTAGAGTAAATTACAAATACACCCCTGAGGTTTGTTTAAAATTCGAATTGCCCCCTGTAGTTTGAAAAATTACAAATACCTTTCTGTCAAAATTTTTTATTTACCAAAATTAATTAAAAAAGTAAAATTTCTAACTGTGTTCACCTATATAATAATAAAATTAATTGAAATAAAATTTTAATATTATTAAAAACTGTTAATTAACTTGATGATTTATTAATAAAAAGATATATTTGTTATGAAATTAGAAACATTAGGAGACATAATGTAATTTCTCAAACAACTGGGGATAATTTATAATTTATCCTAAAAAATAGTTAACCAAACAAACTTTATAGTTTTTTCATCCAAATCATGTTTTAAAAAACAAACCAAACACTACCTAAGACTATTTTTTAGAAAATTGAGATTTTTATTTTTCATATTTTTTTATTTTTAATGATTTTTTTTAATATTTTATGTAAATTTTTTATTTTTTAGATACACAATCTAAATACGCTTGAAAAGTATAATATTTGTAAAAAAATAATAATAATTAAAATTCATCAAATACAAATATTATATATATATATATATATTTTGTATTTTCTTGTATTGAATGATTTTTTACTTTTTAAGTACATTAAAATTAAGTGAATCTAAAAAAATTTAAAAAAAATTGATTAAAATATTTTAAAATAATTAAAAATATAAAAATATGAATTGAAAACTGGAAAATTTACTTTTGAAAATTGAAAACCAATAACCCGTCTTTTATTATTATTATTTTTTTCCAAAATTTGTCTACATATTATTTTGAATAATAATAATAATAATGACATATCAATTAATAAAGAGAGAGAAAAACAAAATATTAAAATTATGCAACTTGAATCAAGTCCAAAATTTTTAACTATCATGTCTCAACAAATTTTAATGCAGTTCGAACAATTTTAATTGTAAAACATTATATTCATTGTGTTATAATCTCAGTATTTTGTCAAATGAAATGGTTGGTTTATTTTTCCTACGAAGGAAAATATCATAAATGCGAGCGTGCTAGTAAGGATTAAAAAATCTTTACAGATTAAATTCAAACCCATTATCAAGGGATTGCGTTGACGGTTCTTTTGCCTCAACGAAGAGAACTTCAAAATTTCTAAGTGTAAGGAAAAGAAAAAGGAGGGAGACGGAGAAAAATGATTGAGTAAACAATCAAAGTAACCATTAATCACTTCTACTCCTATACTTTGAAAAAGAAGTGCATGAAATATAAATTTATGTTAAACTACTCCTAAGAGCATCTCCAATGGAGCTGCTATTCAACCTGCCAAAGCTAAATTTTGACAGGAATGGCAAAAGAGATCTCCATTGGCTTGCTATTTTACTTGCCAAAGATAGCAGATTCCATATCTGTTATCAAATTTGGCAAGTTGAATAGCAGCTCCCAAGCTTGCTAGATCAGCAAATATAAACAGAAATTTGGCACCAAATTCAGTTAAAAAAAAAAAGAATTGAAACAGTAGGGAACCCAAAAAATTCATAATCAAACCCAATTTTCTATTTTGTTGCCAAATTAACAAATTTCAGAATGAATTTGACTACCCAAATTCGGTTTCTCTTAATTTTATTTATTTATTTATTTTAATCATTTATCACCAATTTGGTCAATCCAAATCAGATGGTATGAATTTACAATAAACAAACCAAATCAGATGGACAAAAATAAAATTAATGGATGAACATACCAGATTGAACAAAAATAGATGGTTGAATAAAAATTAAACAAAAAATCAAAATAAATAATTAAGAAAATTATAGCAAACATACCAGATTGTGTTTTTTGAAGATCCCTCTAGAGATGCTTGAGTTCTTTGAAGATCCGGTTTGAATCCATCGCCAGATTCGAGTTTCAAAAATCGCGATCACCTCAGATCCACATCAACGACCAAAAAATTAAAGAAAAAAAAATCAAAGCATATATATATATATAAGTATGTATATAGATGGAGATCGTACCAGAGAGAGAGAGATGAAATGGGGGCCGATTGTGTAGGGGTGAAGACTTGGGACCAAGGACAGAGTGAGCGAGAGCGAGAGAGAGAGAGAGAGATCATAGAGTAGACAGATCAGAGAGTAGATAGATCGATGAAGACTTGAGCTAAAGGATAGAGACACTCAGACACAGACGTATAGAGACGTTTGGATGATGGACGACAGTGAGAGAGTGAGACAGAGAATGAAAATAGCTTCATAGGTAGAGAGAGAGAGAGAGAGATAGAGAGAGAGAGAGAGAGACGTTTCGATTATGGAGTAGGAGAATGGACTGGTTTGAGGAGAGGAAAGACAGAGAGAAGGAGAGGAAGAGTGAAAACAGACAGAGGGGGAAGACAGAGTGAAAGAGAGGAAGACAGAGTGAGAGAGTAAGAGGGAAGACAAAGTGAAAACAGAGAGAGTGGCAGACGAAGACAATGCATATCGGTCGAAGGGAGGAGGGTGGATTATTCTAGATGGTGCATATCAACCATTGATGGTTTATACGTAGACGGTGGAGATAGTCTGATTGTGTATAAAAGGGTCGTTGTGCTCTGTTTGGTTTTACAAAAAAAAAAACAAATTAATTTTTTTTACAACAGCTATCTTCAAACAGCTATTTCCCGTAAACGGTAATATTTTGAATTTCTATAAATTGAAACCCTCCATTTCAATTTTATTTCACACAAACATTTGGATTTATTTTTTCTTTTCTCATCTCTTCTCTGAATTTGATTTCAAGCAAACCTCTAAATTATTTTCTTTTTAGTTTTTTTATCCAATCATTATGGAAGGTTCATCAAAAACAAAGAGAAGCAAATCATTCACCATTGAAGAAGATATGGCAATTTGTAAATCTTGGTGTCACATTTCGGAAGACTCCATTGTTGACAATTCGCAATCATATGCTCACTTTTAGGGGAGAATTTTACGAAAATTATTGCTTGCTTCAGAATGATCAATCTAGAACACAGGTGCCTATTCAATCTCGATGGGATATAATTATGAAATATTGTAGCAAATTTCGGGGGTATTTAGCGCAAGTTGAAAATCTTCACCCAAGTGGGATTTCTCAAGTTAATATAGTAAGCTTTCATCTTCAGTTATTATGTTTGGTTTCTTATCCTGGTATCGCATAAAAATTAACTAATTAAATAATGATTCAATTTTTTTGATACAGATGCTTCAAGCAAAACTGTTATACCATCAAGATGAAAACAAACATTTTACTTTTGAACATTGTTGGCCAATCTTGCAAGACAATATCAGGTGGCAAGATGTAGCTCCTATAAATATAGTAAAGTCAAGGATGTATACAACACTTATCCCTAATTCAGCCCCCGATTCCCCTATGGATAACTGCATTTCTCTTGAAGACGATAACAGTCCAAGTGTTGGTAATAATCCAACTGTTGATGAGGGCAGTGTCTCTGCAAGGGGTAGAACGCCTATGGGTAGGAAAGCTACAAAAGAATTATTTCGGAGAAATCAAGTCGTTGAAACTGAAGTCCAAAAAATGAGCATAGAATTGGAGACATTTAACCAACACCTTACTGAGAAAGAAAAGAAAAAAGAGGAAAGAGAAGGAAAAAAAAGAGGAAAGCATTGCAGGAGATGAAAGAACTTGAGATGAAAAAACATGACCTTGAGATGAAAAAAGAAGAACACAAAATTATGACTACGGACATTTCTCATTTGGACTCTCAGATGAAAGCGTATTACACAATGAGAAAAAATGAGATTTTCGCCAAGTGGTCCTCAAATGTAAGCATCCCAAATTTTTATTTCTCCTACATCCTGATGAATAATTACGGGATAATGTATTTTTAAATTTTGCAATGTCATTTAATTTTTGATGTAATTGTTAGTCTTTATTTGCAATGTCATTTTTTATATTTTTGAGTATTTAGTATTTTCACAATGCAATGAAATTTTTCAATAAAGTATAATGCAAAAAAATAAATATATTTTTTCAACTGAAGGCAATAAAAAGATAAAATAAAAAAGACATTAAATGAAAATAACGTTATTATAATAAAAAGACATTAACTGACATTAAATGACATTAATTGTCATTAAAAAGATAAAATACAAACTTAATTTAACTTTCTAGCTCAGGACCACAAGTGTTCAATTAGATCATTACGAATTGCATTATGGGCTTCAGTAGATCTAATCCTCTGCCGATTCAACATAAATTAAGCATGCTCCTCATTCGGATTGCGTGACATTTGACAACGGGTATTACTAGTATCAGTCTCAAGTTGTGCTGCACTATGTTCATTTTCTGGAATATCACACTCGTCTTCAATAATCATATTGTGCAAAATAATGCACGTCTTCATGATGTAGTACAGATCATCATCACTCCAACCTCTAGCTAGAACTCTGACAATATTAAATCATGCTTGGAGCACTCCAAATGCCCTTTCGACATCCTTCCGACATGCCTCCTGCATCATCGCAAATAGTTGTCTCTTTGCCCATTAAGGTTAAGATATTGTTTTCACAATCGTTGCCTAACGAGGATAGATACCATCAGTAAGATAATACCTCATGGCGTACGCGTGATTATTGATGGTGTAGTTGGCAGCAGGGGCACGTCCTCTAGTTAATTCAACAAATAAAGACGACTTGTCTAGAACAGTAAAATCATTTAGAGAGCCAGGCATGCCAAAGAAAGCGTGCCAAATCCACAAGTCGTAGGAGGCAACTGTCTTGAGTACAATTGTTAGTTTGTGGTAGTGTCCAGTGTAAGCACCGGCTTGCGCAGTTGGACATTTATCCCAACGCTAGTACATACAATCCAAACTCTGTAACATTCTAGGAAATCCACGTTGCTCTCCCTTTTGCAATAATCTGGCGACATCTACTTCATTTGGGGATCTTAAGTAAACAACTTCATAGGTAGCAACAATTGATCTAGTAAAAAAATTCAAGGCTGCAATTGCAGTACTTTTGTCGATTCTAATGTACTCGTCTATAGCATCAGCAGGCACGCCGTATTGCAAGGTCCGAAGTACTGCAGTCATCTTCTGTACACCGAATAATCCAGGAGCACTAGTGGCATCACGGGTTTGGATGAAGTACTCATTCACCTGTTGAATATCATGTAAGATACTAACAAACAATGACAGTTTCATTCAAAAACGTCTTCGGAAGTATTCTTCTAGATAGACAGGATTATCTGCAAAATAATCTCTATAAATTTGTTCATCACCTTTGATCCTCTCACAATTAATGTATCGACGACCACTTATGGAACCAATACGTCTAGTTTGTTGGTTTAGGCTTAATATTTGTATTCTTTGTTGTTGCGCTGTGAACAGTTGCATCATGATGATATCATCATCAAGTGATGAAGATTCATCAAAATCTCCATTCAATATGGCTTTAGTCAAATTGTTCATTGTAGGTGGATGGGTGAGTGTGTGAATATGAAAATTGTAGAAAACCTTATATTATATTTATAGAGAAAATTGTGGGTGGATGAATAATGGGTGGTTGTTAGGTAGATAGTTGTTAGTGAATGAATACTGGGTTAATAATGGATGGTTGTTGGTTGTTGGTTGTTGGTGAATGAATGATGGGTAAATAATGGATGATTGTTGGTGGGTAATTAGCGATTGTTTATTTTTTATGTGTAGTTAAAAAAAATTATTAAATATGTAGTGATATGCTTTTTGGTGGGGTGGATTATATTTATTTATTTTTTTCAAATTTTTTTATTTTTTATATTTGTCTAGTTGGGAATAATATAAATATATAATTTTTTTTAAACAGGTAAAAAAATGTCACAAAAGACAAAAAATAAACAAAAATAAAATCACAAAAAAACCTATATCTAAACAATACCTACAAACTTGGAGAGAAAGTTGGTTGAGATTTGCCAAAATAGCAAATGACCATTGGAGCACCATTGTTATAATTTGGCAAAATAGTACTATTCATTGCCAAATTATAACAATATCAATAGCATTATAGCCACAATGGTTGGAGATGCTCGAAGATAAGGAAAATGACAAGAAAAATAGAAATCAATTGTTTTTTATTTGAGTTGGATCTTTTTACAATGTAAGCATGAATGACTATTTATCAGCAAACATTTGTAGAAAAAAAACTACTAAAACTATCTATTATTCCACCTCCTCTATTTCATCCACCATGATCTTCCATAACTTCCTTCAACCTCCGCTTTATGCTTCATGTTCTCCATCGTCTTTCCATATTTTATAACTTCCCATAACCTCTAAATGAGTAGGAAGGTGCCACATGTTTTGCAATTATATAAATAATAAATTATAAAATTGTAGATTTATGGTGCCAACATTACCCCTCTGTGCCCATTAAAAATGATGTTTACTTTAATTTTTGAAGGGTCGAACCAAACACACAACTAATCTAAGTAACAAAGTGCTTCAGATAATATCAACAAAGTACTTCGAATGATATAATAGCACCAAATGTTCACAATTTTGCCGATTGAATGCAAAAGCCATTGTTTGTTTGCAATCGAAGCACGCATAGTATCATTATTTTGTGCTTTTTGTGCCTTAAAAAAAATAAAAATAAAAATAAAAATAAAATGGCCATCAATTTGGAAAGATAAGTCATTCCCAACTACTAATTTAAATGCATAGGTTTTCCTAACCAAGTTCAACGTTTCCAATGGCTAAGTTGTTCTTTAGTGCATCAAATTCATTAAAACAATTTTAAAAGATGATTGTTTTATTAGCCATTTCATCAAAATTAAATTTTGATGTGAACCACAAATCCAGAAAGGATTTTGAACACCAAGAACCATAGTACAAGATGACCTTAAAAATTCAAACAACTTGACATTTTGAATAATTTTAAAAAATTCAGATTCATGAACATTAAATTGTTCATTATTCTTAGCCATGTTTGGCTTGAGAATATGTTATTTAGCCAAATAACTTTCATCATTCATTGACAAATGGGGTTGTCTTTCTATTTTATCTATTAATGGATTACGAAAATCCTCCATGTGAGTTTTATCATTTCTTGGTCTAATGGGTTGTTCCATTTTAGCCATTAATAAACCAAACCAAACCAAACCTTAAGTCCCATCAAATGGGATCGACTACATGAATCCTTCTTCTCCACGTAGTTCTATCAAAGGTCATTTCGTTAGTTAAATTAAGTAGATCCATATTTCTATTTACAATACTAACCAATGTTAATCTAGGCCTACCCGGTCCCCTAACACTTCCATCTAATTGTCACTGCATCACATTTTTTCACTATTGCCTCTATTGGTTTCCGTTGAATATCGCGGAACCATCTTGATTGATTCTCTCTCAACTTATCTTCTATCGGCACGACTCACACCCATTCCCGGATATACTCATTCCTAATTCTCCATACGAGTTTAAGAAAATCCTCCATGTGAGTTTCATAATTTTTTGGCTCAATGGGTTGTCCATTTTAGCCATTAATGGCTTATGAAAATCCTTCATAGACATCTTATGTCCATGGTTTGACTCTCTAAGAATGGGTTTTTCAACCCTCTGAGTCATATATGGAACATTATTTTTTACCATGCTTGGCTTAACAACATATTTTTTAGCCATGTTATTTTCATAAATTGACTATTTAAAAATGAGTTTTTTGATCCCCGAGCCATTGATGAAATCAACTCTTTGCTTTTGCTATTTTCAACCATTGAAAATTTTTGAAAAAATTCACCAATTCCGGCCATTAAAGCCTCAATTAAAGACTTGGTGGTAAGAGTTGACAACTCATCATTCAATTAGCGAATTTTCATATCAAGTTAATGAATTTCTCCAATTAAATGGTATCTTTTTTCTTCTACCAAATAATATTGTAAGAGATGAAAGTTTATTTCATTAGAAAAATGGATCTTTTATTGAAGATCCAAAATTTTTTGTTTACGCTAAAATATTTAATCTAGGCTATTTAGAATAGACAAATCCAATTCATTTTTCATTTCTTATACTTGATGTCCCACTAGGCGTGCCAAAAATATTAGTCTTTTTGGCTTTTGAAAGTTAGAAATGTAATGCGAGCGTGCCAACAAGAATCAATAAGTCTTTACAAAGATTAGTAAATGCCAACCAATTAGTCTGACGATTGCTTCAAAATTCTTTTAGCCTTAGTGAATTACAGCTTCGATGTAAAAGAAAGAAGGAAAAAATAGTATTAGAAATCAAACTTCATTAAGTAAACAAGAGTTTACAATTGTACCTTCACACTTTCACAGCTTCGAAGGGAATTACAGCAACGGACTAATTTAGAACTACTCCTAGATATTTGAAGTGCAGTACATGAAAGTAAAATACTGGAATTTAAAGGATTGTAAAATTATAAAGTAAATAACTGGTTTCTGGATTTGGTCCTGGGGTCTCTGCATTATCAGCATTCTGCTTTATTTATAGGCTCTGAAGATAACTGTCGAAGTGGCTAATAATTGCCGAAGTAGATGATAACTATCAAAGTGATCCCCATGATCACTGAGTATGGCTTTGAACAGTTTGTTTCCATTATTCCACTCTCATGATTAGGCTTCTCTCCTGAATTTGAATTTAAATTGTAAGCAATTGTTTGGCCACGTCACCTTGGGTTTCTTGATTGCTCTCATGTCTCTCGGATCCATTACCACTGCTATAAATTGCCACGTGTCCGTTGATGATTTGAGACCCTTGCTGATTCCCCAAATTGCCCCTTATGATCCACGTGTCAGGCCGTGATAAATTTGTACAAAATATATAGGCAACAGAAATGAAAGTATAAATTAAAATTAAAATAGCTAGTGATCTTATTGTAGAGGCAAAATTTCAATGAATATATATATATATTCTTCAATTATATGGCACAAATTATTTGCAACAAAGCCACTTCAACACAATGTCTAGTCATCAATTATATGGCACAAATTATTTTGTAAGATTTTGCTTTTAATTTAGATAAGTCATGTACTTTGGATTTGTTAAGCAAAATTTAAAATAAAATGAAAAAAATTCAAGAAAGTAAAATGATTTTTTTAAAATAACAAATTCCTTTTCTTTTTATCAAAGACTAACACATATTTTAACATTATTTAATAAAATTCTTAAACTTCATGCAATATTAAATAAAACTCTTTAATTATTAAGACATTTAATGGGAAAAAAATTCATTTTTATTGATAAAATACTTTAAAATAAAAGTCAAATCTAAAATTAATGTCAAATAATATTCACTTTATTTAGTTTCAATTTTTTTAATTAAATTTTAAAATAATTAATTAATTTTTTATTTTTTGTGAATATTTTTAAAATTTTAAGTATTTTTTAACTTTTTTTTTTTATATACACCTTATTTAGATGTATATAAAAAGTAAAATATTTAAAAAAATTAATAAATAAACAATAACACGAAAAATATACTGAATTTTTATTTTTTTATATTTTTTATATTTAGTAAATTTTTTTCCCACAAATATTATACTTTTTAATTGTATTTATATTATGTATATCTAAAAATTTTAAAAATTACTTAAAGTATTAAAAAAATTCAGTGAAAACAAAAAAAAAAATAAAAAACAATATTTTTTTTTTATTTTCTGAAAAGTGAATTTATGAAACTCAAACTAAACAAGCTAAATATTATCCCTCTAATTAACCACTAAATTACATAATTACTCTCCCAAAACCCTATTGTCACTTGTTTTCATTTTTGAAATCAATTCTTTCTCTCTCTCTCTCTCTCCTAACAAACTATCGTCGCTTCCCTGCCTCTCTCTTTTTCTATTCCCTCTATATTTACACAGCTTGAAATATTTTGAAAGGAAAATGTTTAGTAGCTCAAAATTTTGTGACTCAAATGGCTCAAATCTGTCAAAACGACGTCGTTTTACACTCAAAATCTGTCAAAATGACGTCGTTTTGAGTGATTTGAGCCATTTGAGCCACAAAATTTTGAGCTACCTAGTATTGTTGATTTTGAAAATACCTATGCATTTGTAACTTGCAAACTCAAATTTTTGTACCTTGAGCTTCCATTTATGATTTGTAAAAGAAAAGATTTTGTGAATATAATTTGAATACTTATAAAAATCAATGAAGATAAGGCTTCTTTGGTTAGGACTTCTTTTTTTGTTTTGGCCTAAATAGGTACAAAAGATAAAATAAGTTAAATAAATTAAAATGTTTAAAAAAAAAGTTAAATAAATTAATAAAACAAAATATTACATTAAAATCATAATCATTTTATTTTTTCTCTCACAAAGTTAAAAAAATAACTCAAACAAACTTTTTTGTCTCAACTTAAAAAAGTCTCAATCCAAAAAAATCAATTAAAAAAAGTGTTTGCCAAAAGGTAGCTCAAAGTTTGGGATATTGGCCCTGTTTGGTAAGGCTTATTTCTAGTTTATTTCCCTCTCTTAACG